GGAGTCTGCTCCTATGATGCTGCTTGGCCTGCTGTGTTCATCCAGCCCTGCACCTTGTTTTCTCGGATTCTCCAGCATCTGCAGTTCCTACTATCTCTGATTCGATTTTAGCCCTAATATTAAGACCGTTACAGATATTCCCAATTTGATAACAGCCGTATGAGCTGAATTTACATTTCATGATAGCAGTTCCACGCTATGAGGAGTTGGTGCGTGCCTATTCGTTTTCTAACTCCGTTCAGTGTAGAATTTATTGCATAGAAAAACAATACGGTTCAAGAAAGCATTTTTCTTTTGTTTCATTTGGTTTGGAATCTTATCAGTGTACAGCTCAAAAATACATTCCAGTTGTGGTAGTGACTAGAACTCTTAACATTGGAATAATCTTGAGTTTTACATACTAGCATTTCCTGCAACCTTGGAGATAGGTTATTGAGATTGAATTTTGGCTTCGTGCCAAAACCGTTCTGTTTGCACTGATCATACTGTCATGAGATGGAGGCATGAATCTGGGTAGTAAACTAATAGCGTTATTTTTGTGAGGCTATGGCAAGTGATTTTGCTTGAATGAACCACTGTCTAGATAAAAAAATTCTTTATTTGAATAAAGTTGACCTAAAGTAAACTTGCACAATAGTTCTGACTGATTGCTGCATGTAAAGTTAAGAACTGAAGGATTTGAATAGTCGAAACATTGCAATGTTTCCTTGTCATCAATTCCACCCCTTTCTCTGGCAGCTGTCTGTGGTTGATCCAGACAAACTGTAACTTTGGTGTTACATTTAGTCTAGAGATGAGTTCCAACCACACATGTGCTCCTGTTGAAGCTCTCACCATGCCTTTATTATGTTTGGATTTAAACTATTTCACTACTGTTTGTTGGGTTCCCAACTTTGACAGTTGGTACACAAACTTGTCAAAAACTTTGTTGATGTCTGAACTTGCAACAAGCTTTATCACCCATCACTTCTGTGCTTGGGAGCCCACATTGGCACAGATCTATGTTTTAAACTTCTCAACTTTGTTTCCAAATTCCAACATTCTCTGTCTGCACGTAACTTCAGCCAGCTTTACAGTCTTCCAAGATTTCAGTTTACCTCTGGTCTTGGCCTCTTAAACTTCCTGGTTTCGTTTCTTTCACCATTGACCTACATTGTCCTTAAGCTCTGGAAGACCTTCTTAAACCTTTCTGCTTCTCTACTTCCTTCTCCTTTAAGATGTTCTGAAAACATACCTCTTTTATTAAGCTTTTGATCCTAATAACTCCTTACAAGGGTTGTATTAAATTTTATTTGATAATATGCATGTGATGTGCATTAGGATATGTTATCACATTAAAGACATTACAAAAATACAAAGATTTATTGTTGCATTTTCATTATGCAGAATTAAAATTATGCAGACTTTTCATTTATTTGAAATAGTTTGCGCACGCGTTTGTGCTTTGTGGATACAGGAACAGTTACTGAACATTATTGAGTTAATCTGACTTTTAGAATTGGATTTAAGATTCCTTTGTAACTGTATCAAGAGAAAAAAATAGGCTGAAGTGTAAACAGGATATCCAGTCTACGATCACCCAGACCTACGTAGTTGAGATCTTGATGTTTTACCAGGTGCAAAATTGAGTTTTGAATTCTCCATCTGTTACCAAAAACGCATATTTCCAACTCTTACTCAGCCCCTCTACCATTGAGCTACTTTGTACCAAGACCATAAGACCTAGAAGCAGAGCCTCCATCATTCAATGAGATCATGGTTGATTTGATAATCTTGAATTCCACTTTCTTGCCTTTTCTTCATAACCCTTGATTTAATTGCTGAATAAAAATCTTCATCTTTTCCTAGGGTGGGAGAGTCCAAACTAGAGTACTTAGGTTTAAGGTGAGAGGGGAAAGATTTAAAAGGACCCTGAAGGGTAACTTTTTCACGCATAGGGTGGTGCATGCATAGAATGAGCTGCCAGAGGAAGTGGTGGAGGCAATTTAAAAGGCATCTGGATTGGTATATGAATAGAAATGGGGAGGCAATGGCCTAGTGGTATTATCACTGGACTGTTAATCCAGAGACCCAGGTAACGTTCTGGGGACTCCGGTTCGAATCCTGCCATGGCAGGTGGTGGAATTTGAATTCAATAAATATCTGGAATTAAGAATCTAATGATGACCGTGAATTCGTTGTCAATTGTCGGAAAAACCCATCTGGTTCACTAACGTCCTTTAGGGAAGGAAACTGCTGTCCTTACCTGGTCTGGCCTACATCTGACTCCAGAGCCACAGCAATGCGGTTGACTCTTAACTGCTCTTTGGGCAATTAGGGATAGGCAACAAATGCGTGAATGAATAAAGGAAAAAAAAAGGAAGGGTTTAGCGGGATATGGGCCAACTGCTGGCAAATGGGATTCGGTCAGATTGGGATATCTGGTTGGCCCAGATGAGTTGGACCGAAAGGTTGGTTTCCGTGCTGTATAACTCTATAACTATTTATTCTTGACCTTGTCCCACCATATCTTTGCAGTATCTTGCAGTTTGTACCTCCTTCTGCATCCTTCTGTTCACTTGCTCTGGCTTTTTGCATGACATTGGTGCCAGCAGCCTTGACCTTAACCTCTCAAGCTCCCTCGTTACACTTATCTATATATTTATTTCTCTATTAGCTATACATATAACTGCCCAATCAGTCCATTAGTGTTTATCCTCAAATATGTTTAATCATATTTACATGCTGTGTTCCCATATCCCTTTAACTCCTTTTCCACCATCAACCTATCTAACCTAGTCTTGAATTTTGAGTGATTCAATCAGTACCTTAGACTCTGGAATAGTATTCCACAAAACTCTAAATTGGTGTGAAGAAGTTTCCCATACGCTGTATTCTGAATCTTTTACATTTTAATCTTGCATATGCGTATGTGATTCTTTCTTCAAATCCTCTTGACTACTGAATGTAATTTGCTCTTATCTGAAACTCGGATTGTACCAAAATTCCTTCTAATTTGTTCCTTCTATAAAAATACAATCACAGTTCAGAGTAAAGAAATATGTTTGTTCACTTTACAAAGTAGTAATTCAGTTTGATGTGTCATGTTTCTTTTCCACTTGTAGCACTAATTTTCTTTTTGGTCCCCTTAAAGATTCTAGCAATGTGGACAGCTGATGAAATTGCCAGTCTTTGCTATAAACACTATTCTACCAAACTACCAAAGACAGGTCTGCCAGACCCCAGACGGGAATGGACACTACTTGCAGCTGTGGTAAAAGTTGAGGAAAAACTCAGTACAAAACCTTGTTGTAATAACGAGAGAAATGACGGTAAGAAAGCAGGAGATTTACTGTCACCAAACCTAGTGTACCTGCAACTGAGGTGCATTTTAAATTTACAATATTTTTGGTACATATATATGTGATATTATTACACAATAGATATTGAATAAACTGATTATTTTTGGAGTTCTGACCAAAAATTCCTGTTTTTAGTGATGACCTACTATTTGTGTTCTATCTGTCACTTGACATTTATAATTATGACTGAAAAGGGGGTACAAAGGCACAGTTTCCTTAATGCTCTGAATTCTAATTATGTCTTTGTTCGTACAATACACAACAATACTACGGGAAGTAGACATTGTCATTAAATCAAGTTCCAGCATTGGAAAAAAATTGCTGTAAATTTGGAATCCATGTAACCCAGTCAGTTTCCACAAATGTACTTGCTAACACAATGGTTGCTTCAAAGCAACTTATTTTGTAATTCATCTGAGTAATTTTTCAAGTTGAGCAATCCTTAGAAATTGGGTCATGGAGCATGGAATAAATCTTGGTATTTGGAAAGGGCACAAAAGAGGAAATCCTATCTATGCTTTGATAGAATTGTCAATGGGTGGAATTTTGGCCCGATTGTGTTGAACATTAAGGTTACGTTCTTCAGATTTGAGGTGGGGAGGTAATGGTATTAATGCTGGACTGTTAATCAAGAGCAGGTTGTGTTCTAGAGACCTGGGTTCAAATCCTACCATGGCATAATTTGAATTCAATTAAAAAAATTTTGGAATTAAGAGCCATGAAAAGCCATAAATGACCACTTAGAAACAGGAATTTTCAGTCAGATTTCCAAAAATAATCAGTTTATCCAATATCTATTGGATAATAATATCACACATATCCTATGTATATCGTAAGTCAATTGTCAGAAAAACCCATCTGGTTCACTAATGACCTTTAGGGAAGTAAACTGCTATCCTTACCTGGTCTGGCCTACGTGTGACTCCGGACCCACAGTTAACTCTCAATTAATTGCACTCTATGCAATGAGGGACGGGCAGTAAATGCTTGCTTAGCCAGCGACGCCTCACCCATGAATGAATTTTTTAAAATGCTTACTGCTCTTTCCTTTTGTATCTTAAGCACAAACTTGTAGCTACCATTGTCATAGGTTTTGTGTCACTGGTCAGATTAATCATCATTTTTGTGTGTTCGAATTTTTTTTTGATTCATTAATGGGACATCATCACTGGTCAGGCTAATATTTAGTGCCCATCACTAATTGCCCAATGGGTAGTTGAGATTCAACGACATTGCCGTGGGTTTGGAGTCACATGTAGGCTAGATCAGGTGTTGATGGCAGATATCCTTCCCTAAAGGACAATTGGTGGTGGTCAACATTAAATTCTTAATTACAGATTTTTATTGAATTCAAATTCCACCATTTGCTGTGACAGGATTCAAACCCAAGTCCCCAGAATATTAGCTGAGTTTCTGGATTAACAGTCTAACGATGATAACCACTAGGCCATTGCTTCCCAAAGGTAAAGTTGCCACGGACCTACATGTAGGTCAGACTGGGTAAAAATGGCAGATTTCCTTCTTTAAAGGATATTAGTGAACCAGATGGGTTTTTCTGACAATCAGGAGTGGTTTGTGGTCGTCATTAGACTCTTAATCCCAGATTTTTATTGAACTCAAATTTCATCTGCCATGGTGGGATTTTAATCCACGTCCCCATGACATTACCTGGATCTCTGGATTAACAGCCTTGTGATAATACCACTGAGCCATCGTCACCCCTTGTCATTGCACTTGTTTTAAAATAGGTTGGAATTGTCTAAATTAATTTTATTGAGAGTAGTTCACTGTCAGACAGGCTAAATGGAGCAGCAGTGTACAAAGACCAAGAAACCAATAAAAATTGCTGACTATTTTAAGTATCTCATTATCGTGAGACTGGTTTGATATAAAGCTCATGAATTGCAGTACTGATACTTCTGATACTTTATTGTAGTTACTTTCTTTAAAAATACAACTGTATGTTGTACCATCTGGTATGGTCACAAGCTATGACAATCCTGAAAGCCCAGCTTTCTTAACCAGTGTGTGGTGAATTTTTTTAATCCAAGCTGGTCTGATTCAAATGTACCTCTGGATTTGGAAGGGGATAATTCAGATAGGTTTCCTTGTTCCTATTTGCTGTTCCTTTTTCAAGTGCTAATGTGGCTATTTAATGAGGACAGTCATTGCACCCATGGTTAATTAAAAGGAAGTGTAGCATGATTTAGCTTTATGAAAATATCTTCACATGAGCCTGAGGGAGGAACAAATGTTTTGTGGGTGAGACAGAAAATTGCTAATACTATGTTTAATTGTCCTGCAGAATTATCATTCATGTGTCATTCAAAAAATTGGTAAAATTGCTCATCATTTTGCATTGACTGGCATTAATGTTAACCTTTTTTAAGCACAAATTTTAATATGAGGAATATGAGAATCTGAGATACTATAAGAAGGACCTGTGTTTCTTGCAGTAACCCTGGAAGTTGTTGCAATGGGAACAGGAACAAAGTGCATTGGACAAATAAAAATGAGCAAAAATGGTAATGTATTCATGATGGTGAGTCAGCAAATAAAGGTACTTCACTTTGTAACGATATGTGAGCAGTATTGTTGTTTGTAACATTGTAAAATGTGCTCCATTTGCCAAGTTCTGTTCTAAACATTTTATTTAATTAATCTATTTTTCTCATCATTTTTCTCTGGAGAAGGTGGGATTTGAACACAGGTCTGCCGGTCCAGGGGTAGGGACACTGCCACTGCACCACAAGTAAACTGTTTCACATTTATTGTAGCACAGTATTTCCTGAAATTAAATCAATGATTTTATACATAAAATTACATTGGATAGCTGAACTTTACATGTGTTGAATGATAATGAAACATGTACTTATTTACATGCTAATCAGGTCCCATTAAAACAATTACACTCTTCTACTCTCATTGAAATGGTTAGAATCAGAGGAAGATAAGGTTAAGTGAAGGCCATTCAGTCCCTTGAGCTTGCTCTGTCAATCATTTAGCTCAATGTGGATTCTCACCATGTTGTCTTGCCTCCTTGGATGGCTCAGAATACTAAACTAGATCACTTTATGAGCATTTTTCATGTTCAGAATTTTGTTTATTAACAATATACTACATTGATGCTTATAGTAGTGAAGAGATTGCAGCTGTTGTTTTAAATTTCAAACTACCAATCAAAGACAGATTTTACATTTGATCACAGTGGTGGTTATCACTTTCCATTAATGCATAACATATTAATAAAAAACTACACAATGTTCTATATTTCTATAAATTCCTGTAATGTAACGAAAGATCCCATGGCACTTTCTGGAAACATTATCAAACAAAGCTTGACACTAGGGAGCATAAGGGCAATTCGATCAAGTGACCAAAAGCTTGGTCAAAGAGGTAAGTTTAAGGAATCTCTTCAAGCAGGAAAATGAGGTACAGAGGTGTAGAGGGCTTATTGTACAGCTTGAGGCCTGGGCAATTAAATGAATTACCATCAATAATGAAAACAAGGATGAGAATTTAAAAAAAATATTGCTTGACTTACAGCTAATGTGGATCAGCAAACATGGCTGCTAGAGGAACAGGATTAATTTTCTTGCTTTAGTTGAGCCATGAAACGTGGCAGTCATTTGCATAATGTCTATTATATGAAAAAACATCCCAAGTGCTCCATTTGATTTCTGTAGATATCTATTTTCAAATGTAATTTAGAAGTGCCAAATTCACAACTGAATCAGGCAGACACACAAGTGATATAAAAATAGAACCAGTAGTTTTATTTTGGTATGCTTTTCATATTATTTTCAAACTTAATTATAAAACAGACACAGTAACAGACAAGCAAGTACACTAACTTTATAAAACAGCACAGACCAGTTCTTATAAGTGATGATTAACTACAGGACATTGAAAGGGATTCCAACCTTTCTCAAACAGAAACGAAAAGTGCTGGAGAAACTCAGCATGTCTGGCAGCATTTGTGGAGAGAACCAGTAACTCTTCAGAACTGAAATCTTTAGGTTGAGCATGGGAGAGAAGCTCAAAGTTTGTGTTTTAGTAAAATTAAATTTAAACTCAATGGGGTTCATATTGCTCAACAAAGAACTTGTCATTCAGAAGAAATGCACAGTTAGAAATAGATACTACAAAATAATTATCATTGAGTAAAATTCCTATCCTCTTAATAAATAACAATTAATCATGAAATGACTATAATAAATAAAGAAATATTGAATAGTGGGGTGGATCAATAAAGTTGAAGGTCACAGATATTCCCTTTATGTTTTTCCGTCTCTTCCAGCCTTTCCCAACCTTTGTACTTGCTTACAGCCAATTGCATCTCTAACTCTTGCTAGATCTGATAAAACTTATTGACCTGGAGCATTAACTTGGTGTCTCTCTCAACAGACATTGCCAGACCCAGAGAAAATTCCAGCATTTTCTCTGTTTATTTCAGGTTTCCAACATCTTTTGTAAAGGTGATGATGAAAATTGGTAAAATAATCTGAAACTAACAACTATTTTACAATTTATTAGGATGAAGGATGATATAGGAGGGTCTGTAATTGTTAATTGTTTCTAGTCAGCCACCCTGACTATGACCAGATAAGAAGTTCATCAGATTTACTACAAGTTCAATTTCTGACCAGGACAAGATGCAATGAAAGATTCACATGTTGAAGGCTTTTACTTGTTGTTGAATAGTGGAGAAATCCATTTGTCTCATAGATTCAAGAGCATTACAAATGAACAGTGTTGCATATTCATCAGGGTGAAACCAAATCAGTGGCTAAACTCTTAAGTTCTCATGACTGGAATGTTGCAAGAATTAAAGTCGTTGAGTTATACAGCACAGAAACAGGCCCTTCGGTCCATCTCGTCCACGCTGACCTATATTGGCCTAGTTCCGTTTGCCAGCATTTGGCCTGTATCCCCTTAAACCCTTTCCATTCATTCACCCATTCAGACGTCTTTTAGATGTTGTAATTGTACCCGCCTCCACCACGTCCTCTGGCAACCCTGTGCATGAAACATTTGCCCCTCAGTTCCTTTTTAAATCTTTCCCTTTCACCTTAAACTTTGACCTCTCATTTTGGACTGGAGCAGGAGTAGGCAACACAGCCCTTTCAGCCTTTTCCACCAATCACACCTCTGAATGCCAAATTCCAGCTTACTCCCCATACACCTCGTTGCCTTTTAAAATCTAAAACTTACCTATCTCTTCCTTGAATATATTCAGTAACTTGGCTTCCACATTCTCCTGTGGTAGAGAGTTTCACAGGTTCACTATCCTCTGAATGAAATGTTTCTTCATCTCAGTCCTAAACGATTCACCCTATAACCCTGAGACTGTGTCCCATGGTTCTAAATACCCCAACCAGGGAAAACACCTTCCCTGTATCTTGTCTGTCAAGTCCTATCAGAACTTTAAATATTTCAATTAGATCCCCTCTCATTTTTCTAAATGCGAGTGAATACAGACCCAATTGAACCAGTCTCTCGTGTAGAGTAATTGAGAGAAGCAAGGAGTTGCAGAAATGAGAGTGATAATACTCAGTCTATTATAAAAATGTACTTGTTAACTGTAAATATTTCCCCTTTGTGATTTTTTTCTAAGTCACATATCAGACACTGGGATATTAGACTGAGTTAGTGAGCACCTTGAATATATTACAAATATCCAAGTTGCATTACAAAAGTTACCTTCCAAAACAGTAGACAAACAATCCTATGAAAATGATCCAATCATACCACCCACTGATAAAACAGCGACAGCCAGAGGCCAGACTGTGATGAGGCATTTACGGATCAACAGGTTAATTGTAACATTGTAACCAGGTATAATTAAACCTCTCAGTACCCTTCTTGGGATGTTGATGCTTTACTGATGCTTTCTTTTGGATTGCTGAGACAGTTTTTCAAACAATTCTTTCCTGAACCTAAGGGTATGACCTTCACAATGGAAATGGTGTAAACTTTCTCAGTTCTAGCAACTTGAGGGATTTCTGTATAATTCTTCTCAATTGAAAGGTGCACAGACTAGAAACCACTTCCGCTGAGGTTGACTGGTTCCCCTAAACGATAAACTGAAGTTCTTCCGAACTGAGATCTTGAAACTTCTATTCTAACGTCAAAGCTAAATTACTCTACCTCTCTCAAATTCAACATAATAAACATTTATCCATTAAATTTTCCCAGTCACTTGACTGCTGTTGCGTGCTTTCTTAGAACTGATGCACTTAGATCATTATCCAAATGACTTTCTGGCCTATCTTAAAATCAAAACTTTTCATGCAAATTCTCATCCATTTGCATCTATTTTGAAATCCAAATCCCAAAATAAGATATACACCTTTCATCATGTGTTGAAGACAGAAAAATTTATCACCAAGCACAAATTACTAGAAGCTGGGAACAATGGTATGATAGAGAAGATTGTTGAAATAGGGTGGGTGAGGCTGTATACAGACTTGTTTAATTGAATTCAGTGCTGTCAGGTTTGGGAAGCCAGTGGCATTTGGTTGATTGATGTAGTGGAACTTAAGCAAGTGCTGGATTGGTCAGTGAAAGTTTGTTATTTTGCTTTCCTGCTGATCTCAGTGGGTTGTTCTAGCTGTCAAATGATTAACAAGCATCAAGCTCTCTATCTTCTAATTGCAGTGTTCCAAGATGACTGAAAGGAGGTGCCGAGAGAGATTCTCTCTCAAGTTTTCATAATCTGAAGAAACATTGAGTGTTGCTGAACTCTTCCCTCCACTGGTGTAGCTGAGATGAACAATTACAACCAAAGTACAACCCCATTTTTGAAAAGAGACACTGAGAAGTTGAACCTTGAGAATAGTGTAGATGTTGTCTTGGTTTAGGCAATCTGTGTATTCATCTATCTGGCTATAAAATTTAAGAATCAGTGGTAGTGTACAGTTTGATGTCACAATGTTTACTTCCTGTTGTCAGTGATTTCTACTTACATACTGAGAGCAAGAAATGTACCAATCTTATGCTGTTAAACACCTCCTGAAATTGAACCAAGGATAAATGCAATAGCCCAGAGCAGTCTTTTCACTGGAATCGGCAGGACTTGCCTGATGCTAGAAGTAGCATAACCTATACTTGGAGAATGGAAAAGAAGATAGGAATGGAGCACAGTGAAGAATGGGAAGTCCTGGAGTGAGTGGCAGATCATGCTATGAAATTGTGATGAAAGGTGGAACAGGAGGTATAGCCTGTTAGGTTACAGAAATAATTTGATGGATACAGCATTTGAATCTCATTGCATACTCCAACAAATCTGAAGCAATGAGTCATCTCCAGCCATTTTATTTGGGCTTGATGGTAATGTGTCTAGAGGTTAATCATAGCATTCAAAACTTCTGTGCTATATTTTTCTTCCACATCAAGTTTCATGTTCTTTCCAAATATTTTCTAGGTAACATAATTAATGACAGCCATGCTGAGGTGACTGCACGACGTGGGTTCCTTAGGTAAGAATTCTACCAACAGAATGTCCATCGTGTAAGCAAATCTTGTACTGAGTTCTTTGTAAGTTATTTGTAATTTTATTAAATTAGGAAAGTCAATGTGCCTATTAAAGGAAGAACATCTTGGGGAAATACCTTTTTTATTTAGCTTACTCCCTGCACTTGAAAAGAAAATTCTTCTTGTTTTTTAAAACACTAAATCTTTACATAAGTGGATGCCTATAAAAATGGATAGTAGCCAGACTGGTAGTCAGCTGTGATGGAATGGCATTTAGAGTGGGATCTGTTGAATGCAGTAGAATTCATTCAGCAAGGTACTAAGGCAGTGCTGCTCTTTGAATCCAAAATTAAGCCATAGTCCCCTTTGCTTAATAGATATTTGGATGAGCTTTAAAATTCTTTTCCCAGTATTTTGACAAGTACTCCTTCCACAACCAATTCTGCCACACAATAAGCACATTAGATGAGTTGTTCATCTTCATATAGTGTGAGATCTTACTGTGCACAACCATATCTGCCTTTTTTGCCAGTTTAACAACAATGTCCCTTAAAACTATATCTGAAGTGCATTAAAACATGTTTAAGAAATGTGATATGGAAAGAGTGTCTTTTTATTTTTGTGTTTTTTAGTTGTGAGCTGAAATGAGCAAAGAACTGTTTTTAAAACCAAGGATTGATGCATGGTTTGAAAGCAAATAATTTGATACTCATTGTGAAAACTGTTCGTGCAGCTGTGGGTTACAGTAGTGTTTGCAGACAAACTGGAACCAAATAATGCACAGATGGAATTTTGGTTGGCAACAGAAGCTAATTGTTTAGTGGACTAGTGGCCAGTTATTGATGATGCAGGCCTTCTGCCTGCTAACAGCCATATGATTGGTTGTCGGGTAATTGAACAGCTTGACGCTGGGAACAAAATGCAGAGAAGCGACCTGGGCTGCATCAGCTAGGAGCTCTCATTCTCCAATTTCTGCAGCATACACTTTAAACCTGAAGAAAAACAGTTTATCTTTCCTTCAGTTGCTGTCAGCTGTGTCTTTTAATTGATATGTCGAAGAACTTCTTGCAAGTGAACCTGTGCCTTTTGCAAATCAATGAAAGCATCTGGAGAAAGTCGACTAAGAATTAGCCTTCTGACTAGTACAAGAATCCTGTCAACAGATCCTGTGAACAGCAGCCACTGAACTGCTTTCCCAGTGCTGTCCCCATCCATAACCTACATTATTCCCCATGTGTATATGTGTGCGATTGTGTGTAAAAGGGGATGAAGTTTCAATTAGTGGTGTTATATGCCAGTGATTTATAACTAAAATTTAATTACTTGTAGTAAATAATAATTCTTGTTAAGCACAGAATTCTGATCCATGCTTTCTGTCGACCTGGGTTGAACATCAGCTAAATTGGGAGATCTTTACGTGCTTTTTATAAAGCTTCAACTTTTTTGACAATTGATTAAATAGCAGCACACTACTCCAGATGGTGTGATATGATGCCAAATAAATGAGTATCTGTTTGTCTTTCATAAAATGGGACAGTCCAAGTTACTACCTGAAGCTGCTCATTCTGGAGCTATTACTGACATATACAGGGTCAGGTGGTTCAAAGATCATCGTCCTGGCCACTCTGTGGTCACAATCTCTAACACATTCAGTGGACACTTTTTATTGTATGCCTATCCATCAGTGAAAACCTATCCATCAGTGAATGACAGGAATTCACTGCAGTAACTAAGAAAATGATCTTTATCCGTATGAAATTTTTATTGATGGTAAATGATAAAATTTGCATTGTACATTTTTAGTTGGAATTCCGTCAGTTAAGAATGTGACAGAGTAAGATGTAGTTTGCTTTGAGTTGTCCCTTTGATGTGTTACATATTTCTTACTTTATTTTTAATTATATAAATTCAGGCAAAGGCAAATTATTTTTCTGACCTGGCTAATTTCAAAATTTAAGCTGTACTTTGTCCTTCTATCCTAGAAACCAAGGAGTCATGTTGTTGATAAGAAAGTAAGAAATAAAAGCCATTTATTTTCATTTGTACAGATCTTTCTATGACACAATTGTAAATGACTAAGAGGTAGAGCAGATGATGTACTCTCAAGCTTTCCCTTGTATTCTCATTCTGTATAGCCAAACAACATATTTAGTTGAGAACTGCCTGAAACTTGTTTATTATGGGCTATTTCACTGAAACACAAAATTCTGAATGGGTTTGACAGGGTAGAAGCTGAGATATTGTTTCCCCTGGTTGAGGAGTCCAGAATATGAGGGAAGGTCCCAGGATGAATTTAGGAGTGAGATAAAGAGACATTTTTTCACTCAAAGGTTTGTGAGTCTTTGATATATTCTACCCTAGAGGGTTGGTTATTGATGCATATATTTAAGCCTGAGATAGACACATGTTTGGCCTCTTAAAGAATTGAGGAACATTATAGGGAGCAGGCAGGAAAGTGGAGTTGAGGCTGAAGGTCAGCAATTGAATGGCAAACCCTGACAGGCTCTATGGCCTACCTCTCCTATTTTTTACATTCTTACGTTCAAATTGGTAACCTCCAGTATTCTGTTCTCCTTAGGCAGCCCCTCAGGTTGCAAGATGGCTTCCTTCCACTCCAGAACGGTGGGTCTTAAGATGACTAATTAGTCCAATACTGGACCTGTAAATCCTGCTACACGTGGGACAGATGATGTTTACTGAAGTGGCTGGATGGGATGCTCGGATTTTTGCATGCTCCTTCTGTTTGCACTTGGCCTCCATCTGGGCCTGGGAGCACTCAAAGCAGTTGGCACATTGCTGGATGGTTTTTCTCCATTTTGGGCCATCTTCTCAAGAGATTTCCATAAGTTTGTGGGGATACCTGCCGGACACAGCTGATTGAACTTAACTAGTGCCTAGATGCTGGAGATGTTGATCTGAGAGAACACTGATATTAGAGCATCTATTCTGCATTGGATTTGCAGGATTTTGTGGAGGCATTGCTGATGATATTGTTGTAGGGATTTGAGGTATCTGGTGCACGTTGTCCATGTCTCCGCATACAGAAAAGCATGTAACATTGCTCCCCTGTACACCATGATCTTGGTGCCAGGTTGAAGGCTTGTGACCAACAAGCACTCTGTTCCGAAGGTGGCCAAGGACTACACTGGCACACTGGGAGGCAATGTTAAATTCCATTATTGATTACTGTGTTGTTGAGAGTAGACTCCCAGGGAACAGGAGTTGATCCACATTGTACAGTTGCTCTCTCTGGAAATTGTTAGTCGTGGGCAATGTTGTCTGGTAGGATCTGCTGATACAGGATCTCTGTTTAATCCAAGGCCCATTCTCTCAAATGTTTCTTTTAGTGCATCAAATAAAATTTGGAGTTTGGCCTCAGCGCCATCATACTACTGCTTGACAACAGAGTTTGATATGGTCTTGATTCTGGATTGGAAGCGACACAGTTTGAATAGTTTCCTACTTGTCTTGTAAATTAGCTTCAAGTCAGCAGGAAGTTTCATGGTGGAGTGTTGCAGGAAAGAAGATGGAGAAGAGCTTTGGTGTGATAACAAAGCCTTACTTAACTCCAGTTTGCACATGTGTTGACTCTATGATGGATCTTTGGTAAGGGTCATGGCTTGCATGCTGTCGTGCAGCAGGTGGAGAACCAGATTTGAGGAGGAAGCTCCATAGTCCCTTCTGATTGATAGTCAAAGGCCATGCATAGAGGTTGCTACTGCTGCTTTATGCTTTGAAGATCATGTCCACTGTCTCTTTTAATAGACAGAATCTGCATTCTGACTCTTGTAGGAGCTCTTCAGTCAAAGGAGGAGGTGATTGAGCAGCGTTTTTGCAGTGACCTGTGTGGCAGACAACAGGGGATATTCACCTGTAGTTACTGCAATCTGTCTTATCTCCTTTCTCGAAGAAAGTCACAATTATGATGTTTTGGAGGTCTCATGGGAATGCTCGGTACCTTCCAGATGAGGTGAATAAGATAGCATATTTGAGACAAGAATGCTTCAATTTAACATGTCAGTAGGGATTCCATCTGCATATGCAGTCTTGTAGTCTTTCAACTTCATAATAAATGGAAAGAACTGTGGATGTTGTAAATCAGAAATGAAAACCAAAGCAGAAATTGCTTGAAAAACTCAGCAGATCTGGCAACATCCTGTGGAGAGAAATCAGAGTTAATATTTCAGGTCCAGTGACCCTTCTTCAGACCCTGGTCTGTTCTGATCTTTGCAATTTCATGTCGGGCTGAGGTTATGATTAAGTATTGGTGGATAGCATGCCGTGGCATGTATTTGAGGGTAGTTGAGTCAAGGATTGAGTATTAGTTGAGATCTTCAATATCCCTTCCAACAAGTGCTCACTGCCTGTCTACACTTGATAAGTGCCACTCCGTTCTTAGCACTCAGTGGAGTAGGTCCTTGGTTGCTTAAGCCACAAGATGGTCTTCGTGGTGCTGAAACGTCCTTGCACATCATGGGTCTTGGCAATTTGCTGTATTTCCTGTGTTCTTTCTACCTGCCATCTGTTCTTTAGGTCTTTGACGCCTTCATTTGTCTCTAGCTTGCTTTGTTTCCCTCGAGTATTGGTGGTGTTTCCAGTTCAAGATGTTTTGTACTTGTGACTTAATAACTCCTGGATCTCCTGATTGTTCTTGTCAAACCAGTCTTGATATTTCCTGGGACAGAAACCCAAAGTCTCCTTGCATGTGCTGTTTATGATGGATTTAAATGCTGACCAATCACTGTCGACATTCTGTGGTTTCTGTGCCTTGGCCGTCATCGGGTTGACTGTGATACATTGACTGTGTAGGCCTTTTATCGCAAAATCCTTGTGTCTGCCACCATCAAAATTTTCTGCGACGGTGCTTCTGCTGTCATTGGACAAGTCTGATAAAGATAGTAGACGAGACTAAGTAATGATTAGTCCTGTACTCGTTAGTTCCTGTCATGCTGCAGGTGATGTAAACATCCTCATGGTCTCCCATTTGGACAATGATGTAGTCAAGCATGTGCCAGTGTCTGAAGCGAGGGTGTTGCCAAAAGGTCTTGTATTTGTCTGTCTGGTGAAGTAGAGTATTTGGTTATGACCAGGCCATGATCCTTGCATTTCAACAGGAGAAGGACCCCATTGATGTTTGCATTCTCTAGACCTTCTTTGCTAATCATGCCTATCCAGAGATTTATGTCCATTCCAACTCTGGGATTGAAATCCACTGTTGTCCTGTGCCTTCATACCAGTTTCTGTTGCAGTTCTCAACAACGGCTTCAATACCTGGACAATCAGACTGATTGTACAGAAGTCCGAATATCAAAATGCCTTTAGCGTCTTTTTTTTAAGGTGATCAGTATTATCGCATAATACCCTCCTGTGTACTCTTCAGAAGTAAATATTTTTGATTAATAAACATTTTTACATTCAGGTATTTCATCTATTCAAACCACTTTTCTAGTTTTCATTTCTTGATGCTCTGTCTGGCTTTCTAGCACTTCTGATCCAATGAAGTTGATATAAACATTACTATCTTCAAGCGCAACCAGTTCAGGTTTTTAATTTTTGCATGATGTTCTTGGAATATGCTGTTTCTATCTTTTACTTATTTTATCAGGGTTTACTAATAAAACACCTCCCTTTGTCTCAGTCTAGTTTGGATTCTAACAAAGAAGAGGAATGAGAGAAGTAATCAGCATTATAAGATTGAGTGAACCCTAACTGAGTTTGGACAAGAAATATGTTTGAATGCTTTTCCAAACTCTACAAACAATCAGGGTGATTACTTTAAGCTCTTGACAGTGATAAAAAACATGAAAATAGACTGAAGAGATATACGACTCATAAGAAATCTGTATGTAGGATAAATGGTATCATGGAGAGTTGTCAACCAGAAGTTGGAATTTTGTGTAATTGAACAAGAAGTTCACCTAGGGTGTTGTTTATCACCAGACTTTTTCAACATCTATGTAGAAGCAATGGTTAAAGAAGCATTTCAAGATACAGAATTCTGACATAAGATTGTGGGGGAGGATGTGTGAATGATTACATCAGTTAGGTTTGCAAATGCCGAAGGACTTTAAACAAGCACAGGCAAGTGCATAGACTAATAATAGTAGCCACGAACTTTGGAATGAAATGAACATTGGCAAAACCAAAACCCAAATCCCAAAATCACCAATAAAATATTCAGAAGTTCATGGGAGAAAAACTAGAAAGGGTGCAAGAATTATAGTATTTACAAGCGTAATATTTGTAAATGAAAATGCAACAAATTAATGAGAATAAGGATAGCAATGGGAAAGGTTATATTTACTAAGTTGAGACAGTTGTTAAGGAGAAAACTAAATAAACAACTCCAGAAGTAACTAGAAAGAAACAAATTAATGTCTTATTTTATGTTGTTGTGAAATTTATGGAAAAAAGATGACTTGCTAAATAGCTTTGAAATGAAGATTTGGAGTAGAGTGGAAAAGAACAGCTGGCCAAAGAAATTAACATATGGTAAAGTGCAAAGGCAAGTGAACGAGCAAATTAGGAAAAACTGTGACGCTGAACAGGGCATATCTTAAGAGGAAATGAACTGTATAACACATTGAGGAGGAAAGAAGAGAATATTGGAGCTTGAAAATTGAGAGAAATTATTGGAAAATCAAAATCACTGATGATGGTATGTTCAAACTTCTTCTGGATTTGCAGTTTTCCATTCAACTTATATTAATAGTATTAGGGCTGAAAATACAAAGTTAGTGAAGGGGCAAAACTACCTTTGTATTTTTTCCAGTATGCCACACCACTATAACAACAAAGGACTTTGATTTGTTTACTGAAAACTGCTGAAGGATATGGCAGAAGGAAGAAATGTAAATATTTGAAATGCTGTGTAAAATCCAGTAAGAACACTGCATTCACATACTATTTGGTATTAGCCACGTAATCATACCAGACATTGAACAAGTGTAAGAGAAATGAAATGACGATGTCATTTGCTGTTATAAATTTCCATTTCTTTCCTGTTTTGCAGGTATTTATATTATCAACTGAAAGAGGCATTTAAAGAGAGAAATAGCATCTTGGTTGCAGGAAAATGCAAAGGAAAATGGAGTCTTAAGTCAGGTGTTTCCTTTGTGTTTTTTATGAGCCACACTCCATGTGAGTAGATCTTATTAATATTATACCTCCGGAGTATTTAAACTTTGAAGTTCAGGAAAATTTTAGAGTAGCTGAAAAACATGTTTGAATCACATCTATTCTTTGCAAATCACTTCACTGTACTCCAGTTGCATATTAATTCCACTTCTTGTGTGATTCAGTCATCTAAGTATTTGCCTAGTTTTGTCACCAGATCAAGTTTGCTAAGAAATATGACATTTTGCAGAAGTTGAGTGAAAAATTTCATGTCAAGCATCATCCAGTTTAATCTCTGAAAAACTATGATCTGGTCCACTTTTGATGCTTTGTAAACCTAAATGCAGTATGCCTATCTTGGTTCAAGTTGAATGTTTGTGGATGTTAGATCCTTGAATCCCAAATGGAAGGTTGTGAATTTGGGTCCCAAACTGGCATTTGGCTTTTTTTTGCTAATTCTTTGTAAAGCAGTTGGAGATGTTGCACGAAATAAAATGTTGAACTACCAGAAATTGCCCATTATTTTTCATTGTGTCTGATGTAGGTGAGGGTATGTGATCTTCTATATTCCTACTCTCTATTACAACCAGAGACTTGTAGAAAGTCAGGTATTTGACCTAACAAGGAGCACAGAATAGAGGAAACACTGTTTCCTAATGTACTCTAATTAAACAGTTATCATGTCACTGGCACCATTGTTGTCATTCAAATTTTGTCCTGAACTAATTCTCCAGGTTGACTACTTAGACTTTTGTTTTAACGTTCATTCGTGGGATGTTGGCATTGTTAGCTAGCCGGTATTTCTTGCTCACCCGTGCTTGTCCTTGGGAAGGTGGTGGTGAGCTGCATTCTTGAACTGCTGCAGTCCACCTGCTGTAGTGACCCACTGTGCCCTTTGAGACAGAATTCCAAAGTTTTGACCTGTCAACAGTGAAGGAACAGTGATATATTTTTCAAGTCAGATTGGTAAGTGGCTCGGAGGGGAACTTGAAGATGATTGTGTTCCCATGTACTTTCTGCCCTTGTCCTTCAAGATAGAAGTCGTCGTGCATTTGGAAGGTGCTGTCTAAAGATCTTTGAATTTCTGCAGTGCATCTTTGTCCTGGATGGTGCCAAGCTTCTTGAGTGTTGTTGGAGCTGCACCCATCCAGGCAAGTGGGGAGTATTCTGTAACACTCCTGACTTGTGCCTTTTAGATGATGGACAGGCTCTGGGGAGTCAGGAGGTGAGTTATTCGTTAGAGTATTCGTATCCACTGATCTGTTCTTGTAGCTAGTCTGTTTATGTGGTAAGTCCAGATGCGTTTCTGGACAATTGTAACCCCAAGGATGTTGATAATGGGGGAGTCAGCGATGCTGACACCATTGAATGTCAAGAGGCAGTGGTTAGATTGTCTCTTATTGGAAATGGTCATTGCCTGGCATTTGTGTGGCACGAATGTTACTTGGCACTTGTCAGCCCAAACCTAGAAATTGTCCACACCTTGTTGCATTTGATCATGGACTGCTTAAGTATCAGGGGAGTCACAAATAGCGTGGAACATTGTGCAATCATCGGTGAACATTCCCACTTCTGACTTTATGATAAAGGGAAGGTCTTTGAGGAAGCAGCTAAAGATGGTTCAGCCTAGGACATTACCCTGAGGAACTCCTACAGATGTGTTGGAGCCGAGATGACTGACCTCCAACAAACACAACTATGTGCTAGGTACAACTCCTATCAGCGGAGACTTTGATTCCAGTTTTGCAAGGACTCCTTGCTACCACACTTCGTCAAATGCAGCCTTGATGTCAGGGGCTGTCACTCTCATCTCACTTGTTTGAACCAAGGCTGTAATGAGGTCAGGAGCTGAGTGACCCTGACAGAACCCAAACTGGGCATCACTGAGCAGGTTATTGCTGAACAAGTGCTGCTTGATAACACTATTGATAATGCCTTTCATCTTTACTGATGATCGACAGTAAACTGATGATGTAGAGTAAACTGATGGGACATTAACTGGTCGAGTAGTATTTGTCCTTTTTTTTGTGTATAGGACATACCTGGGCAATTTTCCACATTGTCAGATAGATGCCAGTGTTGTAACTATACTGGAAGAGCTTGGCTAGGGAAGTGGCAAGTTCTGGAGCATAAGTCTTCATTGTTGTCAGAATGTTGTCAGGGCTAATAACCTTTACAGTATCCAGTGTCTCCAACTGTTTCTCGGTATCACATGGAGTGAATCAGATTGGCTTAAGACTGGTATCTGTGATGCTGGGGACCACTGGAGGAGGCTGAGATGGATCATCTATTTATTACCTCTGGCTGAAGATTGCTGCGAATGCTTAGCCTTGCATTTTGTACTGATGAGTTGGGCTATTCAATCACTGAGGAAGGGGATATTTGTGGAGCTAATTGCCCACCACTATTCACAACTGGATATGGAGGACTGCAGAGCTTAGATCTGATCCATTGGTTGTGGGATTGCTTAGCTCCATCACTTGCTGCTTATGATGTTTGACATACAAGTAGTCCTGTTTGGTAGCTTCACCAGGTTGACACCTCATTTTTTGATATCCCTGGTGCTGCTCCTGGCATACCCTCCTGCACTCTCCATTGAACTAGTGTTGATCCCCTGACTTGAGTGGAGAATATGCCAGGCCATGAGGTTATAAATTGTGCTGTGAGTGCTAGATCTGTCTGAAGTCTGTCACATTTTGCACTTGAACCAACGGATAAATAATAGATATAATTTTGCATTGCTGATAAACTATCCACACTGTCACCCTGTTTCCAGGCAATTCAATAAATTCTTTGACCACTGTTGTAATACAAGAACATCTACAGCTTCATACGACAGAGAATTCCAAAGATTTGGAATGCTTAGAGTATATAAAATTCTTCTCATGCTAAATGCGCAACCCTTTATTCTGAGTCTGTGACCACATGTTTTAGATTCTGCATTTGGGGGCAAAACCTCTCTGTTCCTGCCCTGTCAAGGCCCTTCAGAAATTTAGACATTCAAGTAGATTGCATCTCATTCATTCTTCTAAACTCCAGGATTGATAGGCCCATTGTACTCACTCTTTCCTCATTGAACAAACCCCTTTATCCCAGTGTCCAGTCTCATGATGTTTTGTTGCACTCCCTGTAGAGCAAGTATGATACTGACACAAGGGTGTCAAGGTTCCTCTCAACACAAACTTTTCCCAGTCTCTCACCATGCAAAATATATTTTGCTATTTTAAAAAAAATCCCAAAGTGAATCACTATGCATTTGCAACCTCCTCACCACTTTTTCACATAGTGTTAAATTGTCAGAAATTGGATGCATTACACTTAGTTCCCTTATCCATGTCTTTAATATGGATTATAAATAGCTAAGACCCAAGTACTGACTCTTGCAGAATTCCCACTAATTACAGCCTGCCAACCTGAAATGTGTATTACTACTCTTTGTTTTGTATCCATTAACCAGTACTCAGTCTATTCTAATATGTTGCCGTGAACAGCCATAAGTTCTAATTTTGTCCAGCAACCTCTTGTGTGACACCTTTTTGAGTGCTTCTTGAAAATTCAAATATGCTACATTCATTGATTTCTTTGGAAACATCCACTAATTACATCCTGAAAACACAGTAATATACTTTTGAAATACGATTTTATTTTCACAAATCCGTGTTGAGTTTTGGAGGTTTCATTATGATGTTCTCGGTTCTCTGTTACTATGTCTGTAATAGATTCTAGCAATTTGCGTACTGATGTTAGGCTAACTTATCTATAGTTTCCCATTTCACTATTCCTCTTTGCTGTGGGGTTGTGTTTGCTAGCATCCAATCCTTGAACTATTCTAGACTGTAAGAAATTATGAAAGGTCAAAGCCAGTGCAGCACCATTTCTATAGCTGTCTTTTTTAAGAGCCTAGGATCCAGGTTGTTAAGCCCAAGACATTTACTTCTTGCCACTTAATTCATAAATATCTTCATTAACATTTCTTTACTTTTCCTGATCTAAGTTCCTCATTCTCACTAGACCCTTGTTTTCCTATTTTTCCTCAATGTTTTTACATTTTTTGCTTTGAGGACTAATTAATATAACGAGTTTGTTTAATGTGTCAACCGTTTCCGTATTCACATTATAACTTTACCTGGCTGTCTATAATGGACTTATGTCTGCTTTCATGAATCTCTTCCTCTTTATATACTGTTTTAAAAAGTTTACAACCTGTTTTTAAGTGTCTTGCTAGTTTACTCATATTCTCTTCAGTCCTTCCTCTTGAATTTCTTGGTCCTATTTTAAAATCCTCCCAATCTGTAGGCTGTACTGTTTTTATCAATATTATAAGCCTCCCTTTTAGATTCAATGCAGCCTTTAACTCATTTTTATTTGTAAGGTGATGCATTTTGGAAGGTTGAGTGCAGTTAGAAATTATGCATTGAATGGCAAAACCCTTAGGAGTATTGACAGGGGAATCTGGGTGTGCAGGTCCACAGATCACTGAGGGTGGCAGCCAGGTAGATAAGCTAATGAAAAACCCCAATGGCATGCTTGCCTTCATTGGAAGGGGCATTGAGTACAAGGATGGGCAAGTTCTGCAGCTTTATAGAACTTTAGTTAGGCCACAGTTGGAATATTGCGTACAGTTCTGGTCACCACACTACAAGAAGGATATGGTTGCTTTGGAAAGGGTACAGAAAAGGGTTACCAGGTGTAGAGCTGGCTGAACACAGCAGGCCAAGCAGTATCAGAGGAGCAGGAAGGCTGACGTTTCAGGCCTAGACCCTTCTTCAGAAATGGGGAAGGGGAAGGGGGTTCTGAAATAAATAGGGAGAGAGGGGGAGGCGGATAGAAGATGGATAGAGGAGAAGATAGGTGGAGAGGAGACAGACCGGTCAAAGAGGCGGGGATGGAGCCAGTAAAGGTGAGTGTAGGTGGGGAGGAGATAGGTCAGTCCAGGGAGGACGGACAGGTCAAGGGGGCGGGATGAGGCTAGTAGGTAGGAGATGGGGGTGTGGCTTGAGGTGGGAGGAGGGGATAGGTGGGAGGAAGGACAGGTTAGGGAGGCGGGGCTGAGCTGAGCTGGTTTTGGGATGCGGTAGTGGGAGGGGAGATTTTGAAGCTTGTGAAGTCCACATTGATACCATTGGGCTGCAGGGTTCCCAAGCGGAATATGAGTTGCTGTTCTGCAACCTTCGGGTAGCATCGCTGTGGCACTGCAGGAGGCCCAGGGATGGGCATGTCGTCTGCGGAATGGGAGGGGGAGTTGAAATGGTTCGCGACTGGGAGGTGCAGTTGTTTAGTGCGAACCGAGCGTAGGTGTTCTGCAAAGCGGTCCCCAAGCCTCCGCTTGGTTTCCCCGATGTAGGGGAGGCCACAATGGGAACAGCAGATGCAGTATACCACATTAGCAGATGTGCAGGTGAACATCTGCTTGATGTGGAAAGTCTTCTTGGGGCCTGGGATGGGGGTGATTTTAGCTATGAAGAAAGATTGGATAGACTGGGTTTGTTTTCACTGGAATGCAGGAGGTTGAGGGGAGACCTGATCGAAGTCTATAAGATTGTGAATGGCGTGGATAGAGTGGGTTTTTCCCAGGGTGCAGAGTCAATTACTAGGGGACACAGGCGGTGCGAGGGGGAGAAGTTTAAAAGAGATGTGTGAGGCAAGTTTTTCACACAAAGGGTGGTGAGTGCCTGGAATGCGCTGCTAAAAGAGGTGGTGGAAGCAGACACAATAGCAGTGTTCAGGAAGCACCTGGACGAATACTTGAATAGGAAGGGAATAGAAGGATATGGATCCTGTAAGTGAAGACAGTTTTAGTATGGAAGGGCAAAATGTGTTGGCGCAGGTTTGTAGGGCCAAAGGGCCTGTTCCTGTGGTATATTGTTCTTTGTTTTTTGTTCTTATCTCTCTTCTGTCATGTTTTCAGTGGGCTTTTTGTGCCTTAAAGGAATGTTTGTTATTGCAATTTATGTTTAGTGCTTTTAGCCATGCTTTAGTTAACCCAATATTTTCATTTGCAGTAACTCTATCAATTTTTTTTGAGTTTCTTGAACTCTTAAGTATTTCTTCCTTTGAGATTTTGAAGATAATATTAATAATTAAAACATCTAAGTGACTTGAAAATAAACCTTTACCTGTTGGTTTTGCAGGTGGAGATGCATCTATTATCCCAAAGGCAGAACATGAGATCAGACCTCCTCCAAACCCGAGAGCAAAGGAAACTGGTGAACAGAGAAGTATCACTGTTGAAGATAATGAAAGTGCTGAAGATATACAATTCTTAAATAACGAAAAGCATGCACTAGTCATGAAACGAAAGTGTGATGAAAGTGCCTTAGAGGTTCCTGTTAAAAGAGTGAAAAGGATTGATGGAAATGGAGACTGTACATCTGGCTGTAGCAGTATTCCTGAAAGAAAACCCAATGATACCTCTGCAGAAGGAAGGATTGATGTCAGGATAAACAATAATACAGCACAGGCAATGCATACTAACAGCCTTGGGAGTGCATCTCATAACATGGCTGCACTGGATGCAGATGAGACCAGACAGATGCAAATCACTATTTCAGATGTACATCGAACTGGAGCTAAATGTGTACCAGGGGGTCTTCAAGATCCCCTTGAACCTGGAATTAATTACCACAGTGTAGAATCATTGAGGGTGAAGCCAGGTAGAGGTGACAGGACATTATCAATGTCCTGTAGTGATAAACTTGCTCGTTGGAACATTCTTGGCTGTCAAGGAGCACTTCTCATGCATTTCTTTGAGGAACCTGTGTATTTCTCTTCTATTGTAGTCGGACAGTGTCCATATAGTGAGAAGACAATGAAGAGAGCTATACTGGATAGGTATTAATAATAAGTTATTTCTGTAAAAGAACATAAGGTATTCTGGCCTGTCTGCATAAGTGATAGTTCAGCCTAATCCAAATAATTACAATTTGTTAATAAATCTAATAATTCAATTTGCGGTTCTTACTGGATAATTCAAAATTTTAAGCACAACACTTAACTACATTGTGTACTTAGCTCCAAATATAGCTGTTTTCAGTGACATTTCATGAATCGTATATCTTTTTGCAGGGCGAGTACATTGCATATTTCTTTACAAGAACCTGTTGGCTAAATTCAATCGACTTTTCATTTTAAAAATCTCAGTGGCGTCTATGACTTGTTTGGCTGCCATCCCAACCAAGTAGGATTGCATCATGGCTGAAACAGAAAATACAATGCATGATTAAAAACTGAATAATAAAGATTACTGTTGAGACTAGGTCAATTGTGGGTCCAGGAGACTACTTTTTCTCTTGCTGTCTTATTTTAAATCTGAGCTAAATGGATGGAATGAAAGTCTCTTTTTTTCTAAATTTGGTAAAGTTCCAAAACTGAACTGTTTTGGCCGCCTCAGTTCCTTCTCTGGATATGAGTCAACAACACATAACTGCTCTCAAACATGGTACTTACGAGTTTAATTTGGCAGTCTGAAAGAAGCCATGAGTTTGGTAGCAGTGAGAAATTGCAGTGTATTTTGTAGTCATGCTTAGCTTTTTTGAGTTTTATCTTCAGCTCCATAGCTACAGCAATCTAAACAACAGTCTCTTTATATCTTATCAATACTCACTTTCACTGCAATATAGCAGCTTTGGTCCCCATTTTGTTGAACGATATTGATTAACTGTGCATCGAAAGATTGAAAAGAAAATATTTACCCTAATTGGCTGCTTTTGGAGAAACTTCATCAAATCTGAGAAATGGTAAAACTGTCATTGGAATTGGCAGTTTTCTGTTTTTGCTTTGTGGCAACTTCTCCCAAAGATTAGTGAGTACAAATATTAATAAGTATCAGGTTTTTGCTTAAGTTTTGACTTTGCCGAATTAAAACAGAGAATGATTTCCATGCTGTGCAGGAAGGAAATTTATTTGGTGTATTTCACTCTGCTGTTTTGGCTTCACTTTCCATTGCTTGGAAATTAATGTTTACGGCGCATTACAAAAGAGGTGTTAATCAAAGCTAACAGAAACAAAAAGGAAGATATTTGTGGGTGGAGTTGTGACTGTTCTTTTATATAATTTGTCATTTTTTACTTGAATCAGTTGACATAGATAAGCACTGTGGTAACATAGATTTTTTTTTTCTGCCCTTATTTAATACTAATAATCATGATTGGGTTTCATTATTTAATTACTTATATATTTTATACCACACGTGAAAACATAACTTTTTTAAAGCTGTCTTCCATCTATTACAGGTTCTATTTGCACTTTCTATATTGATTGGTTTGTAGCAGATTTCATGATCTAACCATTAGCAACAAACGTTAAATTCCTTCGAGGGGAACAAAGAGAAAATTAGTAAACACAGGTTATATTATTTACAGTAAGATCAGCAAAAGCTTTGCACTTTCAGAATTAGTTGCAGTGTTGTTAACATGCAGGACTTTCTATTTTTATTGGTATAGTGCTGAAGACGAAAAATTAAATAAAAGACACAACTCATATTTTTCTTCAAACTTGAAGATGGCTCTAATTACCCTCATCTCTTGGTATTTGTTAATTATGTAAGCTTCCTTTTGTGCTGAAGTTAAAAAATAAATTGCTAGGAATCAATTACATTGCATATAGTGAAGTAATCTGTTATATGAGATATTCAAAGCAATTTCTCCAGTAATTTTCTTTGTGGAATCTTTTCTACAATATTCTATAATATTAAGGATTAGGGGTATGTAGTTTAGAATTTAATTTTTATCTTGAAATTACGAAAGAAATTACCAGAATATTGCGGAGTGAGAAATGATGGCCAGAGTTCACTTTTCCCTTTGAATGACCTTTGACTGGCATGACTCTTTAGCACTGACTATGTTTTATGTTCTTCTCCAGACACATAAGCATGTAACTTTAGTTTATACTTTAGAGCAGTGCTGAAGGAGTACAAAAACTGCACTAATAGAGGTGTAATCTTTTAGTTGAGAGGGGCCAACATTTATTCCTTTAACCAACATAAAGATTAGTCTCAGTGTTGTTTGGGGATCATTGCTCTATGCAAATTGGCTGCAATATTTCCTACATTATGACAGTGGCTACGCTTCAAAAAATAGTTAATTGATTGAGAAGCCCTTTAAAATATTTTAAGGTCATATATCTAATATAAATGCAAGCTTTTTTTTTAATCAGTGCAGAAATAGGTGCCATTTTCCCATCTTCTGTTATCATCGTTTATTACTCAGTATGAATGATTATGAATACGTTAGGACCACATTTCCATTGTTGTTTTGTATGACTTCCATAAACGTTTTAGCCAGGTAATACATACTTTTGAAGCTAACGTGTACAAACCATTAGGCATTTGAAAGCTTCAACATGGCTACATTATGTTTCATCAGCCTTCTAATGGATAGCTTAACCCCTACTTAAATGTTGAATCTGTTATAAACTGGGAATCTCTCAACTGCTAGCTCTGGTTGTCATTTAGATTTGCAGAATTTGTACAACTCTCCAAAAACTTGGAATAGAGCTGAGTTTTTAAAATTTCTTCAGTAAGTAGCAACCTTATATCTTAACTATGCCAGACTGTTGCACATAGTTAAGCTCTCATTCTGCTGCAACAAAAGTTTGCTAATTGTTCAATGAATTGTCATTAAAGAAATACGTGAAAGCTGAGTATCATCTGCTGCTCTCAGTTTTACTATACATCAAAGTGACAGCTGTTTGAGGATGTAATCATTTGAATTTTACCAAAACAAATCAAGTTACTGTTTCTTTTCCTCTTGTGTTCCAGCAGATGTCGCCACATTACGTCACTCCCAAAAGAATTCAGAGTTCAAGGTGTAATGCTTCTCCAGTCACATTTGGAGTTTGTGCACAGTCGCCATTCACTACAAAGCAGCTCTGACCCCAAAAAAGAGAAAATTGTACCTTGTGCAGCAGGTAGAACACAATTTCTGAATCATTAACCTTGTTAAAAACCGCAGCATTTTTGAAAAGGCATTTGGAATAACAATGTACGTACGCCTTATAAACAGTAGTCAGGTTTCATGGGAGCAAAATTTCTTTGTTCTGTATTTAGTTGTATTCTACATTATGCTGGAAGAGCATCAACCTTTGACTTCCCTGATAGCAGCCTGCAGAATTTTTAAGGGATTTCTTTCTTTTCTTCAATTCAGTGTTTTTTTTTCCCCCTTTTATTTATTCACGGGATTAGGGCGTCACTGTCTAGGCAGCCTTTATTGCCCAGCGGGCAGTTAAGAGTCAACCACATTGCTGTGGGTCCCGAGTGACACGTAGGCTAGACCAGGAAAGGATGACAGTTTCCTTCCCTAAAGGGCATCAGTGAACTAGATGGTTTTTCTGACAACTGACAACGGATTCATGGTCATCATTAGATTCTTAATTCAGATATTTTATTGAGTTCAAATTCTGCCATAGCAGGAATATTATCTGGGTCTCTGGATTAACAGTCCTGTGATATTACCACTAGGCCATTGCCTCCCCTCAAATGGCATCCTGTACAGACTGTCTGGTATTCATGAGGAAAGCAAAAAACTTCAAAGTAGTTCAATTAATCTGATCATTGAATCCTCATTGAAGCACACAGTGTCTAAATCAGGAAATATAAAGTAGAAATTTAACCGAGGTTTAAATCATATCTTGGGGTCCATAGCTCCTGAAAGTAGCCAAGCAAGTAGATATGGTGGTAAAGAAGGTGTATGGCATGCTTGCCTTAATTGGTCGGGGAATTGAGTACAAGAGTCAGGATGTCATGTTGCAGTTTTATAATACTTTGGTTAGGCCACATATAAAGTGTTGCGTTCAGTTCTGTTTGCAACATTACAGGAAGGATGTGGAGGCTTTGGAGAGGATGCAGAAGAGGTTTACCAGGATGCTGCCTGGATTAGAGGATAAGAGCTATAAGGAGAGGCGAGAAAAACTTGTTTTCTCTTGAGTGGCGGAGGCTGAGGGGAGACTTAATGAAAGTCTATAAAATTATAAGAAGCACAGATAGGGTTGAGGGTCAGAATCTTTTTCCCAGAGTTGAAATGTCTAATATGGGGGGGGGGCATGCCTTTAAGGTTAGAGGAGGAAAGTTCAAAGGAGACATGAAGGGCAGGTTTTATACACTGAGAGTGGTAGGAGTCTCGAATGCACTGCCAGGGGTGGTGGTGGAGGTAAATACAATAGGGGCAATTAAGGGACTTCTAGATAAGCACATGAATATGCAAGGAATGGAGGGATATGGACTAATGGCAAGCAGAAGGGATTAGTTTCATTTGGCGTCATGTTCAGCATAACATCATGGGCCGAAGGGCCTGTTCCTATGCTGTAATGTTCTATGTTCTACTCCTAGAAAGCAAAATGAAGATTAGGAATAATGGATTAAGAGAAATAAAAGACAAAAAGAAAAACAAAAAAATTCTACAACTAACTTTTAAAGGAATTAGACTCAGCACTTCTAAAATTAAATAGCCAGAGTCAAAATGATTATTTTGTAGCAAGTATCAGCTTTCAAACCATTTACACTTAATGACTCTTTATTTGCTCACCCCAATCTATTCTGTTTTTCGTGGAAAAGTAGTGGCAGATATTTCAAATTCAAGCATTGCATGCCTTTCAATGCTGATTCCATTGGCAAAGATTTTTATAAGGCAACCTGTGGAAACAGGAGACAGCAACTCCTGATTTCTTCATTAAATATGGATGCCAGTAGTTGCTACCCATGTACTCCACTATAGTGCTGTCAGCCTTTGTTCTTACCAATGCAAAATCCAAGTCATTTTCTTCAGAATATTTGTTTCAGGTAAATACTCTTTAGTAAAGCAGTTATAAATGAAGTCAGCTTTTTGATTATGCAGCAAAATTTAAACTTGAATTGAAATAGCGTAGTTCAAGTCTCTTGTATTTCAAAGCACTTAACAGGTTTTATGAATTCTATTTTTAAGTGTAGTCACTGTTGTAATATAGGCAAACTGCTATAATTATTGCCTCTTTATAAATTGCAATTAAAAGTAATCTCTAACATAAAGGAAACAAAACTGTTGTTATGGACATCTGAACTCTTTCTGAGCACGGGTGTTGTTAATTGCTTCCAATTAAAGCTGACAGAACAATATTGGGCTTGTTTTCAGGTGTTCACATTTCCGCTGGTGAAGTGACTCAAGTTACTGTGCACAATTTAACCCTTGATGTTAATAGATAGTAAATTATGTGCATGCAACAGTTACATTAATTACTACATTACTGTACAAAGATATTGTGATAAAATTAAGCAGAAATGCATTGTTTTTAACCTCTTACAGCAATAAGTTGGTGTGCTGTTCCACATCAGCCATTGGATGTGTCCGTAAATGGCTTTAAACAAGGTGCAACAAAAAAGATTCATGGAACACCACAAGCAAGGTACAGAATAATGCATTTTTATTCGATGAAATAATGACCCAGATCGTTTGGTCTCCCTATTGTATGATCCAAAATGCAGGTTGTGACTCCATGGAAGTTCTCATATGCTGACTCCTATGGGAATTGCCTGGTAGATCTGAACTTCAGAGAAGCAATTCCCAGGAACCTGTGAAAAAGCCTCTGATTCTGACTTAGAGTTAGGTGGGCAAAATCTTATGGATATTGATATAATTGCAGTAGTCCGCCTCTAATTAGACCTCTCTGCCTCACCAAGCTCCCCCTGAGACATGGTCCCTGAACTGACTGGCTTCCTGCCTTCCCATCATCTCACTTTGCCAGCCTTTGCAGAGATCACATCTGGAGTATTGTGAGCAGTTTTGGTCTCCTTATCTGAGGAAGGATGTTATGGTATGAGGGAGTGCAGTGAAGGTTTACCCCCAGACTGATTCTGGGATGGCAGTACTGATATATGAAGAGAAACAGGTTGGTTAGGACTCTATTAACTGTTATTTAGAAACATGATGAGGTATCTCATTGATACCTACAACATTCCAACAGGACTAGACAGGGTAAACGTAGGAAGGACTTTTCTGATGGCCAGGGAGTCCTGGACCAGGATTCGCAGTCTAAGGATATGAGGTAAGCCATTTAGGACTGGGATGAGGAGAAATTTCTTCACCCAGAGAGCAGTGAGCCTGTTTAGTTCTCTGCCACAAAAAGCAGTTGAGGCCAAAATGTTGAATATTTTCAAGAAAGAGTTAGATATAGTTCTTGGAGCTAAAGGGATCACAGGATATAGGGAGAAAGTAGGAGCAGGGTTCAGGGTCCATATTGAATGGCTGAAAATGCTGAATGGCCTACTCCTTTTCTATTCTCCACATCTTTATGTATTTATCCCATCACTTATTATTAGCACCGCCATTCCTCCTTTTCCTTTTTATGCATGTTCTTCTTAAATGTCAGGTACCCTTGAATATTCAGATCCCAGTCTTGGTCACCTTTCAGCCACATCTTTATGATAGCCACCTGATAATTTTCATTTATTTATATTTGTGTTATCAATTCACCTGTCTTGTTGAATGCTGCGTGCAAGTCTGATAAGAATGCCTTTAATACTGCCTTTTTAACATATTCCTTTGACTGTATTTGGCATTTGCATTCATTTCCAGTGCCTTTCACTTTTGTTTACTGCTTTTCAACTTCATATTGGTTTTATTTTAACATTTATCATAGTTTTGTTGAGTTTCTTCTATATTTTTACACTTATTTTAAAAGTTATTTATGAATGCTGGCATTTATGAATGTACACTGTAACAAGTCATGACTTACTGGGGTGGTGCAATGGAAATCAACCCCCACTACTCTTAGAGTCATAAATGAGAAAGGATTTAAATAAACTACCCAGAGTACCCACTTTACTTGACAGGTAAATACACTCATCAAGTTTCTGTACTTAAAAAGAAAACAGCTATTTATTGCACACAGTTTTTAATCGATAGCGGGAAGAAAGCTTTTGCTAACTTAACACTCCATATCCATTGCAACTGAGCCAACTGACTTAACCAACAGCCTCTCTATCCATACAAACATAGGTACAGAGACAAAACAAGACACAAATATTACAGGTGGGGAAAGAACAAAATAAAGTTTGTGAAGCACAGTTCTGGCACCTGTCCAGATTACAGCTGCTGATGAGTCGGTTTCCTTCAGTTTCTTTATGATTCCTTTCAACTTTTTGATCAGACCACGATGTCGTGGACATACCAGTTCTCAAACTTTCATTCACCATGCCGTTTCAGTGTCTGTGAGGTTTTTTCCTCTTTTTTCCTTTCGAGAAAGGAATTAGCAATAGCTAGCTGTTCCAGATTTTCTTTTAGCTTCACTCACTGAAGGGAGAGAGAGACGTTTTCTCTTTCACAGACTGGATGTTTGTGCCGTACTAAGTACTCATACGGTAACTCACCTAGGAAGCAATCAAAAGTTTGTCACTGCACTGAATACTCCTGAACACGCAACAGGCCTGGACTGAAAAACCAATAACTACCCCTGGACACATCTATGGAGCTGAGATGTCTAATATTCTCCCCCACTGCTTAAATAAGGCAGCATTGTAGATTCAACGGACATTGAGTTCCTGTAACTCATTTTTTTTAAAACTGCAAACATCTTCCTTAGGTAAAGCACTCACTTACCCATTCTTTTAGTCTACAGTCCATAAATATATTTGTCTTTACAACACTATTTTAACTTGAGGTTTCAAAGTTGTTGGCTGATGAAAAAGATCTGAAGTACAAAATTGTATGGAGTTTCTTTTATATTTTATGATTTATTTATTATTTTGAATGTTCTTTCAACTAGGATCATAGTAATGCCTGAATATGGAACAGCATGTCAAGCTGTACATTGTCTTTTTTTCTGAGCAAAATTTGTCGACAAGAACTTAACTCTGGCTTCAGTGTTGATTCTTATGGGAAACCAGTCTTCACATAAAGTTGTCCAATTTAATGTCGCAATTTTCAGGAACATGACCACAACTTTAAGTGGACATGTACTCCATTATGCAGTGTCGTAAGCAAACAAAATTGGATGCTGAGTCAAGGAAGATGATAGATAAAGATGAAGGTGTGACCAACTGCTTGACCAAAGAAGTGAATTTTAAGTAGAGCCAATGTTGTAGACTCACTCACCGAGCCAATGTGTTTGATTGCAGGTGTTTCGTCACTCTGCTAGGTAACGTCGTCAGTGCGCCTCCGGTGAAGCATTGGTGTTCTGTCCCGCTTATTATTTATATGCCTTGGTTTGCTGGGGTGGTTGGCATTACTTCCGGTTCTGTTTTTCAGTGGTTTGCATATCAGTCCAGTTCAATGTGTTTATTGATGGAGTTCCGTTTGGAATATCAGGCCTCCAAGAATTCCCTGGCATGTCTCTGTTTGGCTTGTGCTATTATGGATATGTTGTCCCAGTAGAATTCATGTCCTTCTTTGTCTGTGTGTATTGAGAATTGGTCGTGTCTCTTGGTGGCCAGTTGCTGCTCGTGTATCCTGATTGTCAGTTTTCTTCCAGTTTGGTGTTTGTAATGTTTCTCAAAGTCCTTGCATGGTATTTTGTATATTACGTTAATTATATTGGTTGTGGGTATGGGATCCTTTACATTCATCAGTAGCTGTCGCAGGATGGTTGTTGGTTTGTGGGCTACCCTGATGCCTAGGGGTCTGAGTACTCTTGTGGTCATCTTTGATTTGTCTCTGATGTACAGGAGGATGACTAGTATGTCTGGTCATGTTGTGTCTTCTTGTGATCTGTTGCGTAGGTAATGGCGGATTGTGCTTTTTGGGTATCCATTCCTTTTGCTCCTGTTCTGCTTTGTGCATTTCTGGGTTGCTGCAATGTGTTGTGACCTGTTTGAATAATGTCCTGATGCAGCTCCGTTTATCGGTGTTGGGTTGGTTGCTGGAGAAATTAAGTATCTGGTCCATATGTGTGGTCTTTCTGTACACACTAGTCTGGAGTTCCCCGTTGTTCTTACATTCTGCCTTTATGTCTAGGAAGGGTAGTCAGGTATTGTTCTCTTCTTTTGTGAATTTCATTCCGGTGAGGGTGTTGTTTATGTGTCAGCGGGTTTCTTCTAGTCTTGTGTATTTGATAATAACCAAGGTGTCATCTAAATAGTGGACCCAGAGTTTGGGTTGTATAGTGAGGAGGGCTGTTCGTTCAAACCTTTGCATTGCTGCTTCTGCATTCAGACCTAATATTGGGGATCCTATTGGTGTTCTGTTGATTTGTTTGAATATACGGTTGTTGAAGACCAAGTGTGTTGTGAGGCACAGATCCAGCAGTTTCAGGGTGCTAACCTTGTTGATGGTATTGATGTCGTGGGGCGCCTGCCTTCCTGATTCATCCAGTAGTGTGGCGATTATCTCTTTGGCCAGGTCGATGTTTATGGATGTAAATAGTGCTGTTACATTGAAGGATATCATTCTCTCATCCTGTTTTATTCTGGTGTCCTTGATGATGTTGAGGAAATCTTGGGAGGAGTGGATGGAGTGGGCAGAGTTGTTCTCAAAAACTTGAAACACCTACGAGCGCTACACCCTCAAACTTGGCCCGCAGATGGAAGACAAATGCCATCTGTCTGAGCGCAAACTGCAAACAACTATACTTCCTGCACAAATGCCTCAGAAAACAGGTACTACCACAAAGCTTAAAGTATAAACCACTGATCAATAATCCACGGGCACGAAAACAGTTGCACAGAACTGCCGCAGAATGATAAGGGTTATGATCAACGATGTCCACAGCTGCCTCCACAGATATGAGTGGGAAATTGTATGCCAAAAAACTTTATACTACAATGCAACCAACCAAGAATGGACAACCACACTGGAACAAGCCATCGCCATACAACAACAAAAGACCAGAACAAAGAAAAGAATAGCCCTACAAGGAAAACTATCCAAACTCACCCGGAACAATGACACGGACCACACAGAAACATGGATCGAGAACATCTCAGAACGACCACTTACAGACACTGAGAACGCCATCTTAGTATGCGGATTGAATTATAACTACAGAAACGCTAAAAAAACTGACTCCCTGGCTGCATTGGAATCAACACCAAAGAACAACAGACTCACAGAGGAAATACAACAGACCATCAGACAGACGATAGTCCCAACACTGAGCAGAAAAGGTAAGTGGAACACATTCAAAACAGAAGAAAAGAGAGCCCTGGAAAGACTCGAGAAAGACAGAAACATTGTAATCTTACCGACAGACAAAGAACACATGACAGTAATCCTTAATAGAGCCCAATGCATCGAGAAAGCTAGCAGATACTGATACCTATTAACAGATGGTGATAGACCCAACACCACAGTTAGAGAACCAGATCAAAACAACCTTGAATAAATTACACAACTCAGAAGATATCAACAAGACAGACTACCAAAAAATGAAGTCAGTGGGATCCAATACGCTCTGCTGCCATGGACTCCCCAAGGTACACAAGCCAGGGATCCTCCGCAGACCCATTGTCTTACTACCTGGCACGCCAACATTAGACTAGCCAAAGAACTACAATGGAAACTGAAATACTTAGTTGACAACACTACCCACTCCATCCACTCCTCACAAGAATTCCTCAACATCATCAAGGACACCAGAATAGAAGAGGACGAGATAATGATATCCTCTGACATAACAGCACTATTTACATCTATAAACATTGACCTAGCCAAACAGACAATTGCCACACTGCTGGATGAATCAGGAAGGCAGGCACCCCACGACACCAACAGCATCAACAAGGACAGCACCCTGAAACTGCTGGATCTGTGCCTCACACCCACTTCACCTTCAACGACTGTATATTCAAACAAATCAACGGAACACCAATGGGATCCCCAATGTCAGGACTGATTGCAGAAGCAGTAATGCAAAGGTTGGAATGAACAGCGCTCCCCACTATACAACTCAAACTCTGGGTCCACTACGTAGATGACACCTTGGTTATTATCAAATACACAAGACTAGAAGAAACCCACTGACACACAAACAACATCCTCACCGGAATAAAATACATAAAAGAAGAAGACCAACTACCCTTCCTAGACATAATAGCAGAACATAAGAACAACGGGGAACTCCAGACTAGTGTATACAGAAAGACCACATATGGACCAGATACTTAATTACTCCAGCAACCAACCCAACACCCGTAAACGGAGCTGCATCAGGATATTATTCAAACAGGTCACAACACATTGCAGCAACCCAGAATTGCACAAAGCAGAACAGGAGCAAAAGGAATGGATACCCAAAAAGCACAATCTGCTATTACCTACGCAACAGACCACAAGAAGACACAACACAACCAGACATACTAGTCATCCTCCTGTACATCAGAGACAAATCAAAGATGACCACAAGAGTACTCAGACCCCTAGGCATCAGGGTAGCCCACAAACCAACAACCATCCTGCGACAGCTACTGATGAATGTAAAGGATCCCATACTCACAACCAATATAATTAACGTAATATACAAAATACCATGCAAGGACTGTGAGAAATATTACATACGCCAAACTGGAAGAAAACTGACAATAAGGATACATGAGCAGCAACTGGCCACCGAGAGACACGACCAATTCTCAATACGCACAGACAAAGAAGGACACGCATGCAACTGGGACAACACATTGATAAAAGCACAAGCCAAACAGAGACATGCCAGGGAATTCCTGGAGGCCTGGTATTCCAACCGGAACTCCATCAACAAACACATTGAACTGGACCCAACATACAAACCACTAAAAAACAGCAGTGATGCTAACCACCCCGGCAAACCGAGGCATGTAAAAAACAAGCGGGAAAGAACACTATCGCTTCACTGGAGGCACACTGACGATGTTACTTAGCAGGATGACGAAACACCTGCAATCAAACACACCGGCTTGGCAAGCAAGTCTATAGTCTCATCCACAACCCGGGCAACAATCTTCACCAAAAAATTTTAAGTAGGGCCCTTTAGGAGGTAGAGGAAGTGATTTATTCTTGGCAGAAAAATCCTAGAGCCTACAGTATAGATCTAGAAGTTCAACTGGGTCACAAAGAAGTTTGTAATTAATGCTGGTGGTTATCAAAGGGGATGAAATCAATGATAATGTTTCAGAGTTTCAAATAACATAGATAGAAACGTATATTGAAAAGTGAAGCTTTATAGGTAGTGGAGCATAGAGACTTCATGATTCACGTACGCAGTCTTTCATAAAGCTAAAGCAGTTCCTGAGCTGCAGCCAGATAAACAGGTGTAGTCAGGAAATGTGAATGGAACATATTGCTTCTCTCAGGATGACAGCAAATCTGCATTCTCACCAGCCACGAAATGATTGATCAGTTGAATGGTAGGTAACCAGCTGGGCCAGATGTTCCTGGCAGCTGTCAATTTTGTGCAGTCAGCATCTGTACCCTCTCAGGCTTAAGCGATTGTAGATTCCAGACTAGGAGCATTTCATCTCTGAAATCACTGTGAGACTTTCTCAATGGGGCACTAGATTAGGAAGGAGAGCAGTTAAGACAGGCACAGTAGAATCACAATAAATATAGTGTAAGAAGGTAAAATTAAAAATCTTTTAAAACAATTTTGATATGCAAGGGGCATAACTTTTTTTCTCTTTATTCTTTCATGGGTGTTGCTTGCAGGGCCAACATTTATTATTCATTCCTTCTGAATGGCTTGGTGGGTCATTTCAGAGGGCATTTAAGAATCATCCATACTTCTGTAGTGACCATCTTAAGTTAGTTAACATGTAAAGCAGTCTGCAGGCTGATGTAGCTACAGACAATGCCACAAAGAACTAGGGAAACCTACAAATGTGCTAAAATACCCTAACCTGGAGCTGTAACCTGAACTTCTGGTTGTCCACTTACGGAAAATGATGGAAGTGTTTGCTGCAGCAGATGTGACATTAGTTATATGCCTTATGAAAGCATAAACTGCGAACTGACAGAAGTTGCTTAAGTCATGTGTAGACAGTAGGAAACAAAGGTAAAGAAGCTCAAAGCTGCAATGACCTTTACTACACAAGGCTAGCTGTGGCAGTTTACTGTCGATCTTGATAGTAAAATTGACCATTCTGTGACCCCCTTCATGGAGAAACACATCTTTTCATGCATCAGCCCACAGAGAACAAATGATATGTTGCTCTGAGCATATGTGTTCTGTTGGGAGGTTGAAGACTTTTATTTATCCTCCCTGTAATTTAGATTGCTCCTGTCTCCTGTGGCTCCTCTGCTGAAGGTAAAATTTCCAGAATTGCATCACATCAAGAGTAAAGTGCATTTCTGGAAGCCCCTGTAGAATTCATAATGTTATATTATTTATATACACTTTATAATGTCTACATAGCCAAAAAAAAAACAGCAAGCAACATATCTTGGATACCTTTGCAGCTAAGAGCAAGTGAAGATCCCTTGAAATACTATTAAACTTTTTTGCACCGCGTTTTCTGGATTGGTAAGGAATTGGCAGTCACAACACAATTGGTGATGGGATTGTATCTGTAGTAGCAATCAACCTGATGCTTTGTACAAAGATGTAAATTTGGATCTCTATTTGCAGGTGTAAAATTTGCAAGGCAGAACTTTTCAATGAATTCAGAGACCTGTTGAACCACCTTTCTGAAGAAAACTGTCCAATATCCCTTCGGTAAGTCTTAACTTTAACAGCAATGTGTAGAAATAGCTATAAAGTTGATTGAAATATGAGTGCTGTCCAAGTAAATTTTGATTTGGGTGTATTCAATAAAGGACTGTTAGCAAAGAAAATCATAGCCTTTATTCTTATACAGAGTAATAATTAAAACATTGGGACATTAAAAGATTACTTTATGTGACAATACCATACCTACCTACATTGAGATTATTATTAATGACTAAGGACAGCAGCAGTGCTAGCTTTGGGTTGTTTTTCTTTCGTCTGTTAATGTAACATCTTATAAATATTATTATCTTGTTTAAGATTTAAAATGAAGTATATATTAATGTCTTTAACATTCTCAGAAAAGATTCTAGATTTTTGTTTCTTAGTAGACTGTTTAAATCCCCCATCTTTACCTATACCCTCCCAGGCCTTAACACCTAAAGATTGCAGACCATGAGCTCTCAAGAGTCTCGGTTGACCCATTACAGCATTTCTTTTCTGAAATCACTGAGAGTTTCTCGTAGTGACACTAGATTAGGAATGAGACAGGCACAGTGGGCTCACACATCCAATTAGTCATTCCTATGTAACTACTTGAACAAGTAAGTAAAGTTAGATTTTTCTGTATATTCATGCAAAAATGTGACTGAGCAGATTTACTCATGGAACCTCAGATTTGGGGGATGAAAATGGATGTGCTGCATTAATGAAGTGCACTCTATTTAATTATGCATTCAGTTTTATTTTTGATCTATGAGTAACGTCACATTGGGAAATAATGTCAATAGGAAAGCAAAAGATGGGATAGACGGGTTTAAGGCCGGATGCGCACATGATATTTTTTAAAAATCATTCATGGAATGTACGTTCCCAGGTAGGCTAGCATTTTGCCAATCCTTAATTGCCCATAAGAGGGTAAAGGTGAGCTGTCTTCATGAACTACTGAGGTCCATGTGGTGCAGGTACACCTATAGTGCTGTTATGGTGGTAGTTACAAGACTTTGACTCAGCAACACTGAAGGCATGGTGATACATTTCCAAGTTACAATCGCATGAGACTTGTGTAAGTGAATTTCCATGTGCCGTTTCTCATGTTTCTGCTGCCCTCATGGCTCTAGATGGTAGAAATTTTGAGTTTGGAAAGTGCTATCCAAGGAGTTTTGACGAGTTGTTGCAGAGCGTCTTGTAGATGGTACACCCTGCTGCCATTGAATGTTGATGGTGGAGTGAATATTAAGTGAGTTAGATTGGGTGCCAATCAAGTGGGCTGCTTAGTTCTGGAAGATGTCAGGGTTGAGTGCCATTGGACTTACACTAATCCAGGCAAGTCAAGAGTATTCCATTACACTCCTGACCTATGCTGTGTGGCAGACAGACTTTGAGAAATCAGGAGGTGAGTTACTTGCCATAGAATTCCAAGATTCCGATCTGCTTTTGTAACCGCAGCATTTATATCCCCCTCCACATGTTGATAATGAGGAATTTAGCAATGCTCGTGTGATTGAATGCCAAGAGGTGATACTGGATTCTCTCTTGTTGGAGATCGTCATTGCTGGGTATTATTGTGGCATGAATGTTACTTGTCACTGGTCACCCAAGTCTGAATGTTGTTCAGGTCTTGCTGCATTTGGACATGGACTTATCAACCCAAATTAAATCACATAACTGGGGCTTAGAGGGTTTTTAAACTAAGTAGAAGGCGGAAGATCTCTGAGATGGAAAACGTACATCTACAATACAACAAGAATCAGAATATTGCAGGGCAGCTATTTAGGCAATGATACCCAGAGAGGACAGGAAGGGACTAAGTGGACAAACATTAACAAAAAAAAGCATCAAATGGGATCAAAAGGAGAAAAAAATGGTAAAAAGGCAAAATTAATGGCTCTTTAATATGCATAGCATTTGGAACAAAATAACTGAATCAGTCACACAAATGGAGGGTAATGCATATGATCTTATAGATAATACAGAGACATGGTTACAACTAGATTAAAAGTGAGAACTGCATATTTAGAACTATGTGACCAGAAGGACAGATGAAGGAAAGGATGGTAGAGTAGCTTTGTCAGTACCGGATGGCAGTACAATAGCGAGAAATTGGAAGATATAGAATCCTTTTACCAGAAGAGCTAAGAAATAAAAAGGGAAAGAATATACTGGTGCAAGAAGACTGGAGGCCCCCTAACAATTGCTATGCTGTAGGCTGGAGAATAAAGCAGAAGATAATAAGGGCATATAAAAAAGACAGTATTGTGAGTATCTTTAATTTTCATGTAGATTGGGAAAATCAAATTAGCAAAGCTAGCCACAAGGGAAATTCATAAAATATTTTTGGGACAGTTTCCAAGAATAATGTGTCGTGGATCCAACCAGGGATCAGATTATTTTGGATCTGGTAATCTATAAAGAGGTAAATATAATAAATGATCTCAGAGGAAAAGATCCTCTCGGAAGCAGTGACTATGACACGGTAGAATTTAGCATTCAGTTTGAAAGTGAGAAATGTGGGTCAGAAACAACTGTGCTAAACTTAAGTAAGGGTAATTACAATGGAATAAAGGTAGCGATGGCTGGAGTAGACTGGGAAAAGAGTTTAGCAGAAAAGGCAGTTCATGAACAATTGCAGGCATTTAAAAAAATAGTCATGGTCACAACAAAGATAAATTGCAGTGAGGAAGAAGCATTCAATTCAACCATGGTTAACTAGGGAAGTTGAGGATAATATCAAATTGAAAGAAAAAACATACAATATGGCAACTTTCAAAACCAACAGAAAGTGATTAAGAAAAATGAGAGAAAATAAATGTTGAGAGCAAACTAGCCAGTATATTTTTTCGAAAAAGTAAAAACGACCTTAAATATATATAAAAAAAGAAAGAGGCCAAAGTGAACATAGGCCCCTTAGAGAAATGAGGCTGGGGAATAATAATTGGGTACCAGGAACTGACAGAGAAGTTGAATAAATACATTTGTATCAGTGTTCACAGGAGAAGACTGTAATAGCATTCTAAAAATACTAAATAACCAAAGGGCAAAAAGGGGAAAGAAATAAATACAATTACTATAACTGAAGAAAAAAAATACTGGGAAAACCAATGGGCCTAAAGGCTGATAAGTCCCTTGAACTGATGGGTTGCACCATAGGATAGTGAATGAAGCAGCAACAGAAATATTGGGTGCAGTGGTAGCAATCTTTCAAGAATCCTTAGATTCTGGAAAAGTTTCAGAGGCTCAGAAAACTGCGGTGCAGCACCCTTATTGAAAAAGGAAAGGAAACAAAAAGCAGGCTGCTGTTGGCTAATTAGCATAGCATCATCGGGAAAATATTAGAATCTATTACAAAAGAATGTAACACCAGTGCATTTAGATATAAAATAACATAATCAAGCAGTGTCAGTGTGGCTTCATGAAGGGGAAACCATGACTGACAAATTTATTAAAATTCTTTGAGGAGGATAGATAGTGGGAAACAGTAAAGGTAGTATTATTTGGATTTCCATTTGGTGTTCGACCAGGTATCGTACATAAGGCTATTTAATAAGACAAGACCCCATTGTATTGGGAGGTAATGTATTAGCACAGTCCAAGGAATGACTAATTAATAGAAGACAGAGTGGGATAAGGGGGTTATTCTCAGGATGGCAACCTGTAACCAGTGGAGTGCCACAGTGTTGGGGTCACAGTTATTTCCAATATATATTAATGTCTTGGATGAGGAAGGTGAATGTATTATAGCCAAGTTTGCAGATGACATAAAAATAGGTGGGAAGGCAAACAGTGAGAATGTCACAGAGTCTAGTCTACAGCAGCATATCGAGAGATTATATGAACGAGCAAAAACTTGGACAATAGCAAAATCTTGGGAAAATGTGAGATTATGCACTTTGGTAGAAAGAATAGCAAAGCTGAATGTTACTTAAATGGAGAAAGAGTACAAAAAGCTACAGAACAGAGGGATTTGGGAGTCCTTGTCCATCAATCACAAAAGCAAGCATTCAAGTTCAGCAGATAATGGGGAAGGCAGTTGGAATGCTGACAAAAATAAAGTTGCTGGAAAAGCTCAGCAGGCCTGACAGCATCTGTGAAGTTAAAAAACAAAGTTAACGTTTCAGATCTGGTGACCCTTCATCAGTTCCAGCAACTTTGTTTTTGTTCCTGATATACAACATCCACAGTTCTTTTGGTTTTTAGTTGGAATGCTGACCTTTATTTCAAAGGGAATGAAGTATAAAAATAAGAAAATCTTGATGAAAATATATAAGGCACTTAAATACTGTGAGCAATTTCGTTCCCCTTACCTGTGGAAAAATATACAAGCATTGGAGACAGTGCAGGGAAAATTCACTGGGTTGATCCTGGATATGGAGGGATTTTCTTATGAGGAGAGGTTGAAGTTTGGAGTTGACCTTATTGAAAATACAAGATCAATAGGGAACTTGACAAGGTACATGAAGAGGGGTTGTTTCCCCTTTTGGGAGAGTCTAGAATCAAAAGGGATAACCTCAAAGTAAGGGATTACCATTTAAGACAGAGATGAGAAATTTCTTCACTGAGGGTAGAGAATCTATATAGTTCATTGCTGCAGAGGGATGTAGGACTATATCATTAAGTGTATTCAGGGGTGAGACAGACATTTTTAATCAGTAAGGGAATCAAGGGTTATGGGGAAAGGGCAGAAAGTGGATTTGGGGATTATCAGGTTAGCCATGATGGTTTAGCCATGGCGCAGACTTGATGGGCTGAATGGTTTAGTTCTGGCATGACTTTATATGTTGAAGTTGCTAATAGTGCTGAACATTGTGCAATCATCAGCAAACACATTAGAACATAGCTGGAATGAAGAGACTAACTAATGGTGAATCAGGTGAGATTTGAAAGTAATGAAGAAAATCAGCAGGTCATTACAGAAATGATTAATCTCTCTTCTGAAAAATCCAGAATAAAGGAAAACTATCTTCGAATTTGATCTGAACCTAATTGAAAGAAAGTCAAGGAAAAGCTTTGCACAAAAGGATTGTGAAAGTGTGGAAAGGGAGATGTGGAAATACTTTGATTATTCTGTTGCCTGGCGGAGAGCTTCAAATAATTTATTTCACTTACTGAGGATAATCTATCTGTTTTCTTGTTCGACATTGTCAGGAGTCCATAACAGGCTGCACATAACAAATTATCTACTGTTTTTCTTTGGGACTATAAACCATTCTTTGTACTGAAAGATAAGCTGTGTATTTTACTTGCCTTGCATGTTTGTGCTAAGTGCACCCATACCAGCCAGGAATTTGTGGCTGTTTTATGTTACCAACAACTGTTCATCTTTACATAAGCACTTTTAAAAAGTACAAAAAAATTACTTGCTTTTATTTTCCACAGAAGTTTGTAGCCCTAGGGTAATTGTATGTCCTACTTTGTACAAAGACTTATTTTTAAAGGAAATTAATAAAGTCTGAAGAAAAGATAGATATTAACTATATATTTGCTACAAATATGTGAAATAGTTACTGATACTGTGACCTAGAAAGAAAGTACCTGTATATATTTATAGTGTGTCTTCTCATGTCCTCAGGAAATTTCACACTGAACAGTGACAATACTTCATAAGTTGTGTAGGAAGGATTAGTTGACACCAAATATTGTTAAGTATTGTTCAGAGCACATTTAAGCCACAGAATTTAGCTTCTGCATATTTTTTTCATGTAATAGAGGCATTGCTGGCAAGGCCAACATTTGTTTCCCGTTTTTAATTGGCCTTGAAGAGATGGTCATATGCCACTTTCCCGAACCATTGCAGTCAGTCTAGTGCAGTCTAGTGCACCCACTGTGTTGTTCGGCAGCTAGATCCAGGATTTTGTTCCTGTGTCAGTGAAGGAACAATGATATGGTGTGTGGCTTGGAGGGGAAATTTCAAGTGGTGGTGTACCATGTGTCTGCTGTCTGAGTCCTTCTAGGTGGTACAGGTTGTAAGTTTCAAGGATGCTGTCAGAGGAGCCTTGGTGAGTCGCTGCAGTTCATCTTGTATATGATATATATTATACTATGGAGAAGGATGTGAATGTTTAAAATGGAGAATGGGGTGCTAATAAATCAGGTTGCTTTGTCCTAGATGGTGTTGAGTTGCTTGGGGGTTACTTTGGCTGTATTCATCTGGGCTGATGGAGAGTATTACATCACAGACCTGACTTAGAGTCATAGAGTTGTACAGCAAGGAACCAGACCCTTTGGTCCAACTCCTCCATGCCGACCAGCTATGCTAAATAAATCTAGTTCCATTTGCCAGCATTTGGCCCATATCCCTGTAAACCCATCCTATTCTTATACCCATCCAGGTGCCTTTTAAATGTTATAATTGTACCAGCCTCTGCCACTTTCTCTAGCAATATGACAATCACTCAGGTAAACTACAGAAACTGGAAGAAGCTTTTTCTGTCCATTGCGTAGTGATTTTATACATGCAGTCTTTCTAAATATATATGATTTTGCTAAATTGCACAAATGAAACTTTCCCCATTGTACTTTTTGATGTGCTTTGCAAATATATCCTAATCAATGTGTGTCCCTCATTCATAATCCCTAAGATCTGAGTATTTGTTGATGCTTGCCATGTGTAAGTAGCTGCCACATTTCCTATGCCATGGCATTGACTGCAGTTCAAATGTGCTTAATTGACTTTAAACTCTATTGCGAGTCCTTAGGTTATGTATGAATGTATGAATAGGAAGGGAATAGAAGGATACAGATCCTGTAAGTGAAGACAGTTTTAATGTGGAAGGGCAAAATGTGTTGACGCAGGCTTGAAGGGCCAAAGGGCCTATTCCTGTGACATATTGGTCTTTGTTCTTCTTTGTTATAAAAGTCACTATATAAATATTCTCTTTTTATGAGTTTAACAAAACAAATTATTCAAGTCTAGCACCTCACTCTGTCTCCCACATTTAATTTCCTGAATATCTAAGCTAAATCAAATTGACTGAGTTGCATGACATTTCAGTTCCAGTATGGGTCAGTCCATAGGACCTAACTTGATGTTGGCCATTGAACACTGGACTGTGAGATGCGAAAAAAAATATATCAAATTGGAATCTGTAGAACAGGTATCCTCACTAACCAATGTGCTGGTGGAGAAACTATTTGAAAAAAACAAGAGAAATTGAAATTAGAAATGAAATTGATTGAAGCCATGAGGCAAACCTGTCATTGTATTCCCAATTATTTTGGTTTGTATATTTTCTAAGTACAGGGGGTCTCCGATTTACGAACGTCCAACCTACAAATGCTCATACTTAGAAAATCGATCCTATACAGGCACGTAGTTTTAAAGAGCTGACATAGAAACGTTTCCTGTACTTACGAATGGCTGCTTTATTTTGTCCTGCATTGTTCCAACTTGCATAGAAATCAATTTGCGAACAGACTCCAGAATGGAACCATTCACAATCTGGAACTGCTTGTATTTCATTTCTCAAATAGTCAGGTTATTGTGTTTTTCACTGAGTATTCTAAATCTTTTCCATTCATTTCTAATGGATGGCTCATTGAAACAGAAAGTATCTGATACAAAATAAATATCTACAAGCAACCTACATTATAATCAGTTTCACCATTTTAGCTTATGTCCTACTATTGTTATCAACTTTGTTCTCTACAGTATAGCTGTTAATGCTAAAATATAATTCTTCTTTGTTTTATGGTTTTGTCATTGCATTTCAACTTAAACCGAAAATGGAAGCCTTTAATTATAACATGACAGGAAAGTGAAATTAGATGCCAGCAGAAAATTTATGGTAACAACATGCAACAGCAATTTTCAAAAAAAAAGGCAAGACTAGATAGTCAGAAGCCAGCATTTTGGATCTTTTTTGTACCTCTGTAGCTACATGAGATTAAAATTTGGTGACGTACATGATGTACCAGTCCCCAGAGCAAAAAGTAGATTCATGATACAACTTTAAATTGGACTGATGTGAAACTAAATTTAAAAAAGAGAAACAATGCTGCTAAAGTTAATTCAACCATGAGGAACTGCTAATGTATCTGACTTTTTTGCTTTTGTGTATGTTTATCATTACTATGTTGTTATTTGTGACAATAACTTTATTGTTAAAAATTACATCTTTTTGTCTTTTAACAGAAATCATACATTAAAAACCTACTGGGAATTCAAGGAAGCTGCAGCAAATTATCAGCAAGCATGGAATGAAATACAGAAGCAGGCATTCATTACTTGGGTTCGATCCCCAAGGGACTTCCTGCAGTTTCAGTAGAGAGGAAGTAGCAAAGTAATATAGCAGAAGTAATTAAAGTCAGTTCTGTCTGGATGATTACACGTAGATCTCAAAAGATCTAATTTTCTGAATTTTTAACAAAAAATTGTCACTGTTAACTTGAATTGGATAAAATGTATGTAGCAAACATTATTTTTAGTTGCTAAATTTTAATGTTGCTAAACCTGGATTCCTACATCTGTCTAGACAGTCTTGACTAATAGCCAAAAGTTTAGAATACAATCAGCAAACAAAAAAGTAACGATTAAATTTTATGTAGAATGGAGAAGCATTGTCATTTTTTCCAACTGCCTGACCCATGACATTATTTTCTGGTATAAGATTTAGGAAGGTTTTTCTTTAGCATGCCAATGTATTCTAAGGTCTCAGTTGTCTTTGACATGCTTCAGATTCATCTCCAAGTTCTATTAAGGAAGATTTATAGAGTTGCTTGCAAAAAGAATGAAATGATATTAAAACGTGTCTGATTCTAAGTGTATTGACACTAGCTTGGTTGCTGATAAATGATACAATAAAAGCTAAATCATTCAGAAAAGCTGTCATTGTCTTTACCAAAGAAAAAAAGACCTACATTTAAGCAACACTTTTGGGCAGAATTTTTTGAAGGCATGAGAAGCAGATCTGAAGATGGGGGAGCCAGAATATTTGTGTTGCAGCATGGTACGCTGGTTACCCATTATGAAACAATTTTGACTTCTCAGGGAGTGTGGTCTTCTACCCAGGAGTATCGGGGAGACAGTTAAGGAGGCACTTACGTGAGTCGCTGATATCATAGCAGAGGTACACAGTTTACACACGAGCAGCATATTATCTAAGCAGGTGATGTAGATGTAGATGTACAGTAGATAACCTTTGATGAAATGGCAGAGATTTAGAATTTGGAGAAGAAAAAGAATAGATAATTCAGAATATGAAAATAAGCAAGGAACCATATAAAGCAGCATAAATTCCACAGCCATTTAGTAGTGTAAGAATGCAGATGTTGCTGTAGTTATCAGTAATGTTTGCTTTATCCCTAGAGTAGATCTCTCTGTTGAGGTGTCCTGTAATGTGTGTACATGTGTGTTGGAGATGTTGATCCATCATGCCACATCTGACTGCCATGTCCCTTATCTGGTGTGCTCTGTGACTATACTGTTAACACTGACAGATGTTGTCTCAGTGCTGCACTGCCAGCCATAGAATGGATATCATGGAGATGATTCAGTAATAGGTAGCCTTCTGCAAATTATTGCCAGTTGGATACATGCTGACTTCCAGCAGAATTGTCACCCAGAAACAATCCCAATATTAGTTTGCTACTGGGATCGACAAAATCCAGCCCATCATGTCCTCAGGACAATCCAAAGTGCTAATAAAGTACTTTGGAAATGAAAGGACTGTTATTGGAAAATATTAACTATCTGAAAACAGAAAATACTCACCAAGTCTGGCAGAATTTATGGAGGAAGAACAACAGTTCATGTGTCAAGACAATGGCTTTTCATGAGATTAGCTTTTCATGAAATATAGACTTCAAATCTTACTTGATAAAATTTGCCTTCATTGAACACCCATTCACTACTGGGTGAACATCAAATACTCACTGATGTGAGACTTAAATAGACAAAAAGTATCCATGTTGTCAACATCTGAATGCAGATATGATAACTTACTACTTAAATCTATGATGCTATATTCTATATATGTCAAGGCATTTGGAAATGTTATAATCCTAACTAATTGTACTACTGGACGAGTCAAATCCCAGAATGAAACCTGACCTAAGAGATCATACATTTTTTTTATTTAATGCGGTGGTCATTCATTGAAATATAGCTTCTCAAGGCTGCTGAGTTTCTTTAACACAAGCAGAAATTTATTACAGAAAAGATGCAAACAAAGAAAACAAGTTATCTCAATATACGACACGGTTAGAATTTTAAAAGTTTTAACACCCAAGAAAGCAAAAGCTTCAATCTATTCCTCAATGCTATCACTTTACAGCAATTCAAACCTAAGTTAATATTAAAATCTTTAATTTAGTGTAACTGATTTCCCCAGTACTTTTCTGTGAACTGTGAAGTTATCTTACATGAATACTCTCACAGCTTGGAGCTTAGATTTCCTCAACTTTTAATTGCCTGCAGATTTCTAACCAAACACTCTTGGTCTGGAAGTGCGCAACTCAAATTTTTCAACTGAGGTAACTGTTGCTTTCCCTGAACTGTTCTGTACTCCTTTTCTGGGAAAGAAACTATATTTGCTTCTGGTCCCAAGCAGGTCTACTGTGAACTTCAATAAAATTTCAATCTGAGTTTCCCAAGCTAAAATCAATCCTTGATTATCCTGAACCGAAAATAACCTCATGGACTTCATTATTTACAGTCCCTGTGGTAAGCCAGTGTAGTACAAACACTTTTCTATTAACACTGTGGGGTCCCTGCTCTCTAATACATACTGAATTAAGTCACTGTTCTGGAAAGACTGTCTGACCTAGTTTAGTTTTAACCCCTTTCAAAAAATCACCAATCCCATCTTCCACATATTTTCAAATCCAGACTCTAAATGTTATATATATTTTATAAATCTGACACTTTTCATCACTAATTAGTAAATTGCTCTTTAAATAAACCTTTCTTGCATAGGTAATATTATATGAAATTTGATCAGAAACTATAGTTACAGACTTTGCTTGTTTAGCATATTAACTGAAATTTTCCTGTTTTACAAAATTACTTTCAGGCTGATCTTTTACAAGCCTCTGGAAATGCACTCATGAACAGTACTGAAACAAAATTGCAGACTTAAGGATTTGAATTGCGAAAGACTGTGATAACAAAGAAGGCACATAAGTTTCCTATTACAATCTACAACATATTAGGCAAGTTTCCATTTTGAGAAGAATAAGCAATGTTCATCTTCATCTTTTGTTACATTTTTTCAGTTAGCTTGAGCTTATGTTTACAGTAAAGCTAAGTAATAGCTAACGTAAAGCCAGGAGAGTAGCATCTTTATGATGCTATTGAACAGTTCTTTAATTTTGCTATACAAAGAAGAATACACATGATGAATATTAATTTCCTCTTTCTCCTTATGTAAAAATTAGGAAGCAAAGCAAAGACCCCTCTAAAAAACAGAGATTATATAAAAAACAGACCTCAGTTCAATACCAGCACAGGAGTGCCTGTTGTTTGCTGTAATTTGATCCAATTTATTGTTCTCTGATTGCTATTACAAGAATATTGTACTTTCACATTATGCAGGAGATTAATTTACAAATACCACTTGGCATCTCAACAATTTGAGCACTTGAGTAATTTAGTCTGATCCCCCTCAAAATCCATTACTAGCAAGTTATATGTTTGAAGGTACAATGACAGTAGCATAATAACAATGCATAATAAAGTTAACTAGAGTATTAGTCAGGCTTGCAAGGGTGAATGAAAATGATAATATATATTGTTAGGCCATGCTGCTCATCATTAATAAGTCCATATTTTTCCAAATGTGAGCAAATTCTATCCCTAAGAATTTTCTCCAGTTATTTCCCTAGCACTGATGTAAGGCTCACCGGCCTGTAATTTCCTGCATTATCCCTATAGCCCTTATTAAGCAAAGAAAAAGCGTTGGCTATTCTCCAGTCCTCTGGGACCACTCCTGTGACCAAAGCGGATACCAAAATTTTGTACAAGGCCCGAGCAATTTCCTGAACTTCCTCCCTCAGCATTCTGGGATCCCATCTGATCCTGGGGACTTGTCTATCTTAATGCTTGTCAAATCACCAAACACCACCTCTTTTTTATATAGACATGTCCTAGAATATCGAAATCCTTTCCCAAGACCCACATCCACCATATCCTTCTGCTTTGTGAATATTGATGCAAGGCATTTGTTAAGGGTCTCACCCATTTCCTCCAGCTCCACGCATAAATTCCGTCCTTTGTCCTTGAGTGGATCTACCCTCTTGCTCCTTATACATGTATAAAATGCTTTGGGATTTTCCTTAATCTTGTTTGCCAAAGACATTTATTGGCCTGTTTTAGCCCTCCTAATTTCTTGTTTGAGTTCTTTCCTGTTACCTTTAGATTCTTCAAGAGCTCTGTCTGTCTTCAAAATCTTATGTATTGCCTCCTTTTTCTTTTTGCCAAAGTCTCAATTTCTCTTGTCATTCAAGCTTCCCAAATCTTGCCATCCCTATCCTTCATTTTCACAGGAACATTCTGGTCTTGAACTTTAATCAATGGGCCTTTAAAAAATTCCCACATGCCAGATGTAGATTTCCCTCAAACAGCTGCTCCCAATTTAAATTGCCCAGTTCCTGTCTAATATTCCATATTGCCATTTCAAACTTTATCGACTAAATCAACCTTGTCAACTGCAGACAATAATACAGGAACTGATTACACAACCTTACCAACACATCATTAAACTCAGGTCTCCCACTAGCAGTGGGATAGGGTAATTAATGACGCCATATAATTAACTTGGTGAGACAGCAAGAGATCTTGCTAGGATTTGCACCAAGAAACATTCCATTGAACTTGACAAAATTGATATATAACCAAAGAAAAGTAAGATTCAACCCATAGTTTGATTCAGGATGGTGTGTGACTTGGAGGGAACGTGCAGGTGGTGATGTTCCTATGCATCTGTTGCCCTTGCCCAGATTTATAGGCTGCAGGTTTATAAGGTGATGTTGAGGAAGGAATTGTGCAGGAATCCCACAGGCAACCAATTAAGACCCTACCTGGATAAAATTGTTAAACAGGTCCTACTGCTGACAATCACTGGAGGAGGAGACTCCACAAATATTGCCACCTTCAGTGACGAGGGAGCCCAGCAAATCAGTGCAAAGGATAACTGAAGGCACCTGATATTGCAAAGGCCCTATCAATATTCTGGCAATAGTACTGAAGATTTGTGCTCCAGAACTGGCCACACCCCTAGTACAACATTGGCATCTGCCCAATAATGTGGAAAATTGCCTAAATATGTCCTGTACACAAAAAGCAAACCTGGCCAATTACTTCCTTTTCAGTCTATCTCAATCATTCAGGCAGCACTTACTAAACAAAACCTCACTCACTAAACAAAACCTCACTCATTGACTCTCAGTTTGGGTTCTGCCAGTGCCTCTAAGCTCCTGACTTCATCACACATTGGAAAAAAGAGCTGAATTCCAGAGGTGAAATGACAGTGATTGCCCTTGACATCAAAGCTGCATTTGAACAAATGCAGCTTCAAAAAGCCCTAGGTTGTGGTTGTCAGAGGTCAGTTATCACCACAGGAATTCCTCAAGGTAGTGTCTTAGGCCCAACCGTCTTCAGCTGTTTCATCAAAGACCTTCCCTCCATCATTATGTCAGAACTGGGAATATTTACCAATGGCTGCACAATGTTCAATGCCACTAATGATTCCTCAGATACTGAAGCAATCTATGAGCAAATGCAGCAAAGTTTAGACAATTTCCAGGTTTGGACTTACAAGTGGCAAGTAACATTTACACCACACTTGTCCAATAGGAGACGGTATAATCATCATTCCTTCACATTT